ATCACTCCTGCAAAAGAGGTTTAGCTCTGAAAGTCCTGCATTTCTGCAGGTACAAGTCAATCAAGACCCCTGGCAATTTAACAACGGCTTTGTCTTTCCCTTTTCAAGCCTTTCGACTACACAACCACCCCATCCCAGGCCCGTCCATCCCAGTCCCATCCATCCCATTCCAGACCCGTCCATCCCAGTTCTATCTATCCCGGTTCCATCCATCCCAGGCCCGTCTACGGTCACGTCAGACGAACAATTCGCTTCGCGTTCGTCATTGAACAGGGGAGGGGAGGGGAGGAGAGGGAGTAGATGTCAAGATCTGGGATCAGTTCGGCTGAGGAGTCGCGAGGGGAATGTCTTTAGCTCCATGACAAAGCAGTCTGACCCTGACGCGATGTTGCCGACCCCCCTGTCCCATTCCTATTCCCACTCCCCTCGCTCCTTACGCAAAGTCTTCTTTTTATTTTTGTTTTTCAATCAGACAACCCGATTAGTGCAAACCTGCCTATCTTCAACCTGCCAGTCAGCAGCTATCACTACCGCCTACCCCCCTACCCTCCAAGAAAGTGGTGGTGCGCGCCTTCAAAATTCAGATACGCCAGGCGTGCAACACACAAAAAAAAAAAAGGCGAAGCCCGCAGGACCCATTTAGGCAACCTTCCAGACCCTTCCATGCACTTGCCTAATCGAGGCTTACGGCAAACAAAACCAAATGACTGGCCAGGAAAAACAGGCGCTCAGCTAGGCTTTCTTTCTCGGCAGCTCACCGGTCATGTCGCCAAGTTCTCTATGGCCTTTTTGGGCCTCAGGTGTCTGGATCCGAAACAGCACTTTCGTGAAAGAGTGGCAAATTGTCGAGCTTGTTTTTGAGATGCAAGGAAGAGCGGCGGGGGCGAGAGAATCAACAACCGACTGAGTTGATATGAACCGAGTGGGTGGATGTGAGCCGACTGGGTTGTCTTAGTTTTTACACTATACGGCGCTTGCGGTGTCTTCAGAAAACAAGGTGTGCGGCTCAGGAAGAGGGTAGACGGACGGAACCATAGTAGTACATAGTATATAGTATATACTAACGAAACAGAAAGCTGAATGATACATGCTACCTAACAGCCCGTCTTCTTGGTGAGAGTCGGTGGATCAAGCCCGCAAAGGCCACTGACACGTTACCTTGGCAACACAGAAGAAATCACCCAAGTTGCGCCACACTACCTTAGTAATTAGCACCAGTAGTCTGTGCCCTGCCCACCCCGGACCTCCTCTCCCTTTCGAACCGCTCTCGATCACTCCCACTCGGCGAAGGCGCCGACTGTTGTGCCGACGACATCGGGCCCCTGCTACTAGCCTTGCGCCTCAGCCCGCCGGCTTTCAGTCTCCGAGCCTGTTGGTACGCGCGATCGAGCTCCGTCTCGACGGCGCAGCGGATCTTGAGCGCCGCCACGGCCGGCCACACGCTACGCTCACCGCGGAGGATCCAGTACTGAAGTGTTTCCTTCGTAGGCGTCTCCAGTAAGCGGATAAAATCGCCGGCCGTCACTTCGGGCACGAGTGTCACGCTCGCTCCGGGCACGCGCTCGTCCACGAGGAAGCGGCGGATGCCGGCGGGGAGTAAACGCAAAGTATCGAGCTGGCTGAGCCGGTGGCGAATCTCGAGACCCATCATGCGCACGAGGAAAGCGGTTGCCGACATGGTCTTGTTGCGGGTCTCGAAGAGGGAAGGGCCGTGCATGTCGCTTTGCAGAAAGGGGATCAGGTAGGGGCGCGCTTGGCTGACGATGAAGTGGTTGACGTTGAAGAGCTCGGCGATGCGCTGTAGGGGAGATTCGCGCTCCGAGTACGAGGCGTGCGTCCAATGGCGGAAATCGACCGTGTTGGCGGGCTTCCAGGGGACGATATTGCCCTGAGAGTCCTTGCAGAGGATCTTGGTTTCCCTGTCACCGTAAAGCGAGGGCGATGAGGCGTTGGATGCTAGCGCTGCTGTCCAGATAAGCTGTAAGGAGTTAGGTTAGTAACTGCGCTACCAATGTTATTCTCGGCGATTTTATCAACATACCACATTGGGCGCTGTGAGATAGTTCAGAAGGGTTGGAACACCTCCTTGTCCTGCCGTGGCAACAGTGATGTTCAGTACCCTCTTGCTCCGGTTGTACGCCTCCTCGAACGTAAGATCGCCCAAGTTAGACCTGATACAGTGCTCCAACACCTTGACATCCAGAAAGTAACCCTCCTTCCAGAACCTAGTCACTCTACGTACCAGAGTTGACCAGGGGTTAGTCCACCAGGAATCTCTCTTGTCCCTCCTTTCACCGCCAACCTTGCTCGAGAAGGCAGAGAGGTCAATAGCTTCGCCACTCAAGACATGCAGCAGCTCCTCCTCCGTATGAACGGCCACGAGAGCGGCAATCAAGGCGCCGGTCGCCGTGCCCGTGATGATCCGCGGGAGCAATCCTCGTAGGAACAGCGCCTTGGCAACACCAAGGTGGCAGAGACCAAAGATGGCGCCGCCTTGAAATACGAGGGTGCTTCGTCCGAAAGCTTGTCTGGTATCGTGGATAAAGTCGAGCTTCATTTGTGTCGACATGTAACCCATAGTGTTGCCACAGTTTCCACCACCAGCCGTACTGTTCCCACTGTCCTTGCCGTCGTCAGAACTCGCCAAGCCGGGACTAACAGGTCGTGCTCCTCTGAACCCGGGTGTAAGACTGTTGTTGGGATAGTTGTTGGTTCCGGGCCTCCTACTCGTTGGCAACATCCCAATCTCCTCGATTACTTCCGCAACCGCAGTGATATACTCCTCAATGAGGATCTTCGTTCCCGCAAAGCTCTTGTTGTAGAGCTTAGGTGCCGTGATGTTACCGAGGTTTCGAACGAGGCCGCTGCGCAAAAGGTTAACGAGCGCATTAACGTCGCCATTGTCGCGCGCAACTTCGATACTATCCAGCCGCTCGTTGATCAGTTTGTAATCGTAATGCCGGCTAATCGGGTTGTTGCGCCACAAGTCGAGGCCGAGGAGAGTGTCAAGCCGGATGGCGGCTTCCTCCCACTCGTCAAACTCGGAAGCATTGCGAAGGACGTCGAGCCAGACTTCAACGGGGCTGCGGCGTCGATACCATTCACGGAATTTCTAGGTGGATGAGGTCAGCTTTGGTCATGTTTAGATGGGCCGACGTCAACAGTCCTCTGTGTGCATGTCTTAAGCTTTATTGTCGAGAGTCAAAACAAGAGCACTTGCGTAGAGAGTCATGAAGAACACAATGAAATCTCAAGCACTCACACCTGACCAGAAGAGTACAATGTCCACAAATATCCGCCAGAATGATATGAATATTGAGGGTATCACCGACCCCATTGTAAACAAACAAAGAGAGAATCCCGCCGTGGTGTTATGAACAAGTAAGAATGTGTAATGCTTGGTATAAATGTTTTTTTGAATCAAGGACATATCCTGATCTCGCTCTTCTGTCCTTACTTGTTGGTGGCAGATGAAGCGGTAGGAAAGAACGGAAACATGCGGCGCAACTTGAGTCAGTTGCGGCGAAAAGAAGTGTCAACGAGCGTGAAGAAGGAGGAATGCGGCGGCGGCAAGCGGGTATGCCTAGGTAGGTACGGTTGGGTACGTAGTTGTTGGTGTTGGACAAGAATGAGCGAGTGTTGTGTCACGGTGTGTATGTATATTCGGGAGTGAGATCAATCAGCTGACAAAGGGATTGTTCGACGATGTTTTCCCTCGCCTATCGCCTTGTGATGTGATCGGAATTGAATGGAACGAAACTAAGGAAACGAAAGGCTTCGGATGAAGATGTCCGGGATGTGTTGTGATAAAATAAAATAAAAAAAGCTTAAACCATACTGGAATGGACCAAGGTCCGTGTCATTCCATGTTTTGGATCGGTTTTTGGTGCTCTTTCACAGGCGCGTCGAACGGTGGAAGAAGGTGCAAACGGCAGTCTGGCCGGAAGTTAAGGGGGTGTGGAGGCGGACTTGGGTGGACACTGGACTGTGTGCCCGACGTCAGCTGCTGAGGCAGGGGCTCCCCACTCAGTTAATGCAGGCTTTCCTGTGGCATGTGAAAGCAAAATGGGATCTCAATTTTCGGGCAAGCCCTATCGTCACATCGCCGAGATTTCATTCGCTCCCCCACATTTGGCCTGACAGGGCCCGACGGCCCTGGCTGCCGTTGAAGATAATTGTTCACGACAGTGATTATCGTGAGAATGGAAGATAGCATTGATGTAAGAATATTAAGGAAGATGAGGGAACTAACTACCGTTGTCATTCAAGAATACCTTGACGTAATGTAAAGACGCGCAATGAATGGAAAAGTGCAACCAGGAACTTGGTAAGACTTTTGATGGGGATAATGAGATTTGGTACCTTGCGCTATGTAGTGCGGAATGGCTTCGGCTGCCGGCAGTGGCACGTGTGACGGGGGTGACGGACATCGTTATCGCACGACATCCATGATTTAAACCTCGCAGTACAAGGGGGCTATCAAAATCTTATGTCTAAATAAAACCCTGTTTTCACGAGACATGTGAAAGCGAAAATCAGAGACTAAGAATCTGAGTGACGAGGTGTTATCACTAATATTCGTAAAGAAGCTGTTGCCATGTCTGAAACATCACAAATCCCAGCTCGAAGCATATCTCTCGCGTCAATATCAGTTGTATTTGTGATCCTTTCTGCTAAAGCAACATCACCACAAGTCGTGGTCGTTTCCTGCGTCCCGGGGAGCTGAACACTCATCTTCGAATGTGTAAACCAGACAATATGCCAGAGCAAAAACATGAAGCCTCTATACAAGCCATGATAGCCAGCCCTGAATGCATCGTGCCCTCTAAAATATGCCAGAAAAAGTAAGCAAACGCAGAACCACTTCTATTGCGCCTGACGTTAATCATGCGAACACTGGGTATCATCTATGCCCCGATATCCTCAACATTTTGTATCTTATACAAACACACGTTTCCCAAGACTTAAAGCTTCATGGACCTCCTTACACTTCCCGAGACCTAATCGGATGGAGGAGTCGCAACCGAGCCACCATTCATAATGGCAGCCCGGACTTGGGCCTCCATCTCACTCTGGGACATTTCCACGGTAGACCAGCCGACCACCTTGTTCGCGAGCTCCAGCTTCTTCTGGCAGGCCTTGTAAACCAACTCTTCGACGGTATCCTTGCTGATAAGTCTAATAATCTCCACAGGGCGTGTCTGGCCGAGACGATGAGCACGGTTCTCAGCTTGAATGTCATCCTGCGGGTTGTCGGACTGGTCGAATATGATGACTTTATTGGCAGCAGTCAAGTTGATGCCTGTGCCACCCGAGCCTGTCGTAAGCAAGAAGACAGGAATGGTGGCGTCGGCGTTGAACTCGTTGATGAGCTCCTGACGTTCGCTAACGTCCGTGTTCCCTTGTAATGAAAGATACTCGATCTTCTCCGAGGCAAGACATTCTCCCAGAATCTCGATCACCTTGGCAAAGCGTGTGAAGACCAATGCTCGGTCGCCGTTCTTCTGGTACTGCTTGATTAGTTTCAGTAGAGCCTGGACCTTGGCACTCTCCATCCAAGACCCATCTGGAAGATCGAAGGATCTGATGCATTTGTAGTCTCTGCACCAGAGATGCAGCTCGAAATCTGAAAGCGCCTTGAGCTCATTAATCAGATGTTCGATTTTCGGCTGCCGAAGCTCCGATTGGTCGACCCTCTTCATCAAGATATCGGCCATCTTTTCCACCGTCCTATCATTGAAATAGCGCCTGAACAACTGCGGGTGGATGGCCGATTTCCGGAGCTGAATCCAGACGTTGTTGTTGTCGTTGTCACGACCAACATTGCTGGCGCCAGTGGCATCGGTCTTCCGAAATCGACGTTCGTAGTCTTTATAGATTGACGCCTGTACGTCGTCCATCTCACAGTAGACGACTTTAGCCGTCTTGGGAGGCATGTCTTTCAACACCTGCTCTTTGCGACGTTGGAGGATGAAAGGCTCTAGGATCGTCCGAGCCCGCGCCACTCGTTCGCTGTGGAGTAGTGCACCTTGCGAGACTGCCGTCAAGGAAAACTTCTGGTTGAAAAGGGCCTCCAGATCGTCGAAATGGTCCCGGAAGAGTTCTGGTTCAACGAACTGAAGCAAGGAAATCATCTCCATAAGGTTGTTTTGGACGGGCGTGCCAGACAAGATTAGTCGCCATGTGGCGGTAATCTTCAGAAGATCCTTGTACAGCTTTGTCTTGGGGTTCTTCATCTTGTGGCCCTCATCGAACACGGCAACCATCGGCTTCAGTCGTCTCAAATTTGAGATATCGTCAGGGCGCGAGACCTGGGAGTAGGACGTCAAGACGACGTGGTGACTGGCGGGATCGTCGAGAATGTTGTCCGCAATCTCATCGCGAACAGCTTGTGACCCCTGGTACAGGGTCACGTTCAAGTCCGGGGCGAACCTCTTGAACTCGGCAGCCCAATTGGCGAGAGTGGAGGGAGGGACGAAAATGATGTTTGGCCAGGGTTGGTTGCTATCCTCATCCTGCTCATGTTTCTCGTATTCCTCGACAATCGCTGAGATCAAACTGATAACCTGGCAAGTCTTGCCCAGACCCTAGATAAGTAGAACGGTCAGCAACAGCCACGGAGAGGCAAGGTCTTGCGAGTCGGGAGACAAAAATTACTTACCATGTCATCAGCCAGAATACTCGCATACTGGTTCTCGTACAAGAGGTAGAGCCAGTTAAGTCCATACAGCTGGAAAGGCTTCATCGTGCAGCCGCTCATGAGCTCCGGCTGGCTTAGAGGAAGATCAACCAGCTTAGTCGCACCCTCAATGGTGAGAGGCGTAATTGTCCCATCCTTGTTCTTGACAGTCCGAGGCTGGCCGGTCTGGTCGACCTTCCATCTCGAAGTAGCGTCCTTGATCGCGGTTGCTTGTGACTCACACACAGCAATAACATGGTCAATGCCATCCAAGGCCTTGGTATACTCCTTGATTGAGCCCACGATATCCTCACCAACGGGAGCCCTAGTCGACTTCTTGCGCTTCGCCTTCGTCGCCTTCGCTGCCATTGTTACCCTCTCGGCATCAGCCACACTGTCGAAAGGCTGGTAGGAAAGCATGTGCTTTGCGACGTCCTCTTTGACGTTGGCGATGGCCATCAATTGAATGGGGTCGCACGTATTGAGGTAGTTGAGGACACGCTCTTCGAACGCATCTTCTTCGGGGTTCCGTTGGGAAAGTTCGGGCTGCGGTTCCGGCGAGCGCACCGACTTTTTCTGAACATAGTCGTCGTCATCTTCGTCGTCGCTAACGAGTGTGATGATCTTGGTCTGCTTGAGTTTGGGAGCGGGCTTCTCGGTCTGTTTGACAGGAGAGGCTTCTGGCGACGGGCTGCGTCGCCGACGACCCTGAACTAAGCGACGGCGAGCCGGTGCTGGAGGTGCCGGGGCAGGCTTTGCGGGAGAATCTTTAGGGCCGATAGACTTCAAGGATTCTGGCGAGGAAGATCGGAGCGTCACCCAATCCTCTTGTAATACGTATGGTTTAGCGGGGCTCGTGATGGGGCTTCCGACATCGTTGGACAACTTCGGTTTCTGTCAAAAGTCAACTGTTAACACCGTTGCATGCAATGTGAATGGAGAAGTGCGGCTCAAGTACCTTGGACGGTTTGAGGTACACTGCAGGCGCAGCCTTTGCAGATGTGGAGCTGGGCTTTATGAAAGCGGACTGGATATCGCCGCGTGCAGGTCCTTCATCATCTGAGGAATCGCCTGCATAAAGGGGTTTATCAAATTCGTCGTCGTCAATCATTATAAAGTCTCTTTTTGCCCCTGCTTTTGCTGGGGGTGGTCGTGCGGCAGGGGGTTTGAAATCGGTACCCCTTGGGGCCATGGCGCTCGCAAGTCGGCCTCCGGTGCTCGACGATTGTTGACGGAAAGGTGACGATGCAGGTACCTCGACAACGGTTGGGGAAGATGGGATGGCGGCGTCTCTCGGTTTAACTGTCAGTTGTGAAACGATCTGAGTAGGCTGGGTGAAGTAGGGCGATTGGGAGACAATGCTGAGTTCGTCCTCGTCGTCCTTGTCTATGAAATCAAGATCGGGCTTGATCCGCCGTTGGGGGACTGGGCTGTCAACGACAACGCTTGAGGAGCGTAAGGAATCGTCTTCTGGTAGTGACGAGAAAGCCATTGTCGATCGCTGGAAGGTTCGATCAATGAAAGAGAGTGTAGTCTTCCAAATAGGTGGTGTGAAGGGAAAATGGATGGTGGTGGAGGGCTGTATCAAAGGAGTAGGCGGGAAGGACCCCGTCGTTTGTCAGACGCGGTCAAAGGCGCAAAGGCGAATTTTTAGCGGCGCATGTATAGAGCAGAAAGAAATTGTAGAAAGGCGAACAAGAGGAACCTTCGCTGAAAGAAGAGATCCAATTGACCCAAAAATCCAGGTCCGAAGAAGTACTCCGTTGTCTTCACACTTTTTGCCCTTGAGAAACCCGTGATGCGAAAGACGGGATGACAACCTTAGAGGAGTCGTACTGGAGTTTGTTGTCGGTGCCGTCCCAGAACAGAAATGGCTGGGCACACGGCATCCAGTCGTGCAACCGGCTCCAGATTGCCGTCCAGCAATCAGCGATCAGCCCTATCTTTCTAATCTGGAGCCCCACATCGCCGCCATCCATCGCGACGCGCCCGGGCATTCATTTGTTCGTTAAGCAATAATGTGGGACAAACGCGACTGAACGCCTTCACGTCTCCACGTGCAAGCTCGCAGCTGGCCCGGCAGGCAACGAACCACTTAAACACCGATGAGGACAGGGAAGTCCCGCCCAGCCAACCAGCGAGCTATGCAATTGCTCAAGCCGAGCTACTGTTTTCATCTTGACATTGAAGACTTCTGTGACACATTGACAACACCATTAGTTTTCTTGAACATCAAACTGCAAATCTCTATATCAGTAAGTCAAGATCTCATTTGGTATTCATACTGTTTGCCAGCCAGGACTTGCCTTAGAAGACTCACTAACAGAACAAACAGCTTCATTAATCCCACTTCGACCCGTCATCCCGTGAAGAACATACGACGATAACGTTCACCCACAAACACCAACAAGATGGCCACCCGCAGAATCATCTCCCAAGAGAAGACTCTCCTTGAAAAGGATGACCGTATCGGTTCCAGCCCGGCGGCAAGCGAGAAGTCCAACATCGCGCCAGCCGTCCCTGCGTACGCTTTCTCTCCCCATTCAATCTCATCCATCATATCACCTGTCACTCCTAGCTTCACTTCATCTAGTATCATCGTACACTCATACGCCCTGGTTCCCCCCAATCGTCCCATGTCATCACAAGTTCACGTCTAGATCGGAATACTCATAAACTAATACCACAACCGCCCACAGTTCCGTAATTATCAAGCTCCTAGCTTTCACTTTTGCCATGATCGTCATCCCCATCAGCTCCTACTTCCTCACAGTCGACCGTTTGTTCAAGGGTACGTAATCCCACGTTGTATTTTGCCCCTTGTCCCACTTTCTATCCCCGCCTCTCAACTTAAGACGCTTCAAGGAAAGTCGTCGAACACCATCTCAATCTGAGATTCGATACTGCCCCTTTATGCACTTCGTTCGGGCTCCGCAAACAAACATCCACTGACCAAACCACGCAGGAAACTCAACATACGCCGGAGCCACGGCAGCTATCATGGCCAATGTGGTCTTAATTGGATATATCATTGTTGCTATGGCGGAGGACCAGTCGGATCAGGAGAATGAGAAGAAAGGAGGTGGTGGGAAATCAGAAGGGAAGAAGGACCTTTAAATTTGTCAGGCTAGTAGTAGGTAGGGTATGAATTTTATGACATCGATAAGGTATCAGGACTGGAATGGGCATTGAACAGGGGGATTCCCGATTCCTGTTCAAACAAGCATCTTCTCTGGTTTAGAGCACCGTGGAATTTCCTTCCGTGTCGTGGAACTGCACAGCAGTTTCACCGATTTGTAGAGATATCCAGAACTTTCAGCTGGGGACATACAAGATCAAGCTTTATCAATTCGACCCGAACCCACAGTCATAGTTGAACGTCACGGTGTAATTCACAAAAATGAGCACAGGAAACCGAGTCATTGTACAATCAAACAAGCATTAATCTATTCGCTTATATGTGGCCTACGTATATACGCCATCTCTTGAAGATATCGTCGCAAAAACAATGAAGAGCAAGCGGAGATCTCCTGTAAGCGTGGACTGACCCACGAGGTCTCCCAATCACTCTCCAGATTAATCCGCTTCGTTTCCCTTCACAGTCAATCGGTGATTGCTAGCCGCTGAAATCCTTTTCTTCGTTGAACACAAGAGACCCCTTGACTCATTCCGATCACACACATTGCCGCCCGTCATCCCTAATAATCCCTTTTTCGTTGCGTAGCTCAAAATGCCTTCCATCCCGATTGCCTTTCGATCCCATAACATCATTAGAATAATATCTGATTTCCCCACGGAGAACCGACTTTTCATAACCAGTTCCGTGTCCAATGATAACCTCCCATAAAACCCCGTCCCCAATTTCCTAAAGATATATTTCGGGAAAGCGCTCTTCAGCAAGAGCAAACCTCCATACAAATGTTCTCAACAGCTGGGATATTCTGCCGGCTCCCTAGGGACGTCTTTTCTTACGTCCTCAGGATGACATGTAGGCAAAGGCGCGGGTATCCATCGAGAGAGAAAGCGAGGAGGAAAGCGACAAGGCCCAAAAAGCAAGCGTATTCATCAACATCATATCACACTCGGATAGATAGGAAAATCGTGACTCAAACATCCATTCCCAAATAGGCCAGCCTATTTCTTCAGCTTGCGCGAAAACCAACTCTTGCGCTTCTCTGGGGCACCTGGCCTTTCTGGTTGAATGGTATCGTTCGTCGCTTTCTTCTGTAGTGTCCGGGTGTCTTTCTGGGGCGGAGCAGGCGCTGCGACAGGTGCAACGCTGGGGTTTCCCTGACTGAAGCTGTTGGGGTTGTTGTTGGCGAAGCCGGATGTGCCGTTCGCCTGGTAGTTGTTTGCTCCGCCGCCGTTCATGCCCATAGCAGGTTTCCCGTTATAGCCGACTGTGAAGGCCGAAGGTGAATATTCGGTATTCTGGCTGAATCCTATTCCATAATCATTTGCTGGTTCCGACGGTCGCTTGGAAACCGGTCCGGCTTGAGCTCGTTCGATCGAGCTGTTGTCACTACTTGTCGGGTCGGTCTGATACCCCACTGGATCTGATGAGCCACTACCGGAGGCCGAGGCCACGGTCTCGTACGAGCGATGGTTACTCGGGATCGGGTAATCGTTCGCGCTCGGCGATTGGTATGGCGAAGAGAACTGTGCGTTAGGCATGATCCTGGGATCACGACGTCGGCCTTGGTTCTGAGGCGGCGACGAATACCCGGTGTTGTATCCTGACTGGTGGTCATAGTATGTGTCCCGTGGTGCTTGCCTTAGATCATGCTGGCTGCCGTCTTGACGGTTCGGATACATCGTCGAAGCCGGTCGGCTGTTGTAGTAACCGGGCCCACCTGGTTCCGTTAGCATTCCCGTCTTCCGTGTCTTGCCGAGCAGGGCTTTAGAGTCGGTCGTACTTGTGCCATAATAACTATTTCGTTTGCTGTTATTGCCATATGTTGACTCCGATTCTGCTAACAGTGTTAGTTTGGATTTGGACCACATCAGCTCGAGAGAAGCCGGTGCATACCTGAGCGGTAAATTGACCTACGATTGCTGTACGCTCCATCAATGGCGGCCTCGAAACTCCGAATGGTATCCAAGGGCCGTTCCCAACGACTGCGGGTGGGATTTGAACGATCGGGGTCGGCTACACAAAAGGTCAGGATTGAGCTGAAGCGGTGAGACTTGTCTCTTAGCGCGTCCACGAGAAAACTTACAGATTGGATTTCCAAATGCATCTTTGTGTTGGATGTTCCGCAAAGAAGCGAGCGATGTCTTGACATGCGCGGCCACCTCGGCTGGTAGAGGGTCAGTAACAAGTTCACATGCTGCACGCAGGGAAAAGCAGAGGAGATGGCTAATGCAATGCATGCCACACATGATTGAACTTACATGGCTCTGCCTCGTTCATGGCTAACGTAGGGTCGGCTTTTGTATGTAACCGTTTGGCGTCCTTTTCGGCACTGGTCTCGTGCAAGTCAAGCCTTTGGTCTCCGGAGTCTTGAGACTTGTGGGATCTGAAGCTGAAGGCTCTCGATTTGCGTTGGGAACTCGCTGGGCGGGCCTTTGTCTGAGTGGCAAGCGCGATGGGCGCTTGTGGCTGCTGGTACTGTTGGTATTGCTGTTGTCCCTGCAGTTGCGCCTGCTGTAGCTGATGCGGGTTGGAAGTCGGGGGGTATCTGCTGGAAGTCGCCATCTTGGCTGGTGGGGAGACGAGAGATTTTGATCTGTCTTCTACGCAAAGCCCGGGGGTGCAGTGAGAGCGGTGGAGGAAGGGTCCGTGATGGGGTCCGGGGTGGATGTCGATGCCTGTCGGTGGTTGCAGATGGAGAGAGGACCGTGGTCGTTCTGATCGCGTGCAGGTTCAGATGGATCAAGATGCCTGCTTATCTTAAGGGTGTTCTTCGAAACAAGTGCTTATCGGCAACAATAACCGGTCTAGAGCTAGAGGTATCCAAAGTGGTGTTGCACGGAGCAGATATGGGAGAGGCAACAACGGAGAGGTTCAGATAGCGCCCTGAGAGCGGTTGATGTGGACTGTAAATCGGTGGAAAGTGGACCGGCGTGGATAGATACCCCTGGTGGTTGCCCTGGGCGTTTTGGGTTGGGGGCTGGGATCCGTAATCTTGGTGTCGCAGACTCTTTAAAAATCAGGGAAAGTGTGTCCTGGCACCCCGGGTGGCTGGGGTGAAAAGCGGATGTCGTTGGGTGCTGCGCCTGGTTCGCTGGAAAATCGGACAAATCGTCGGTCACAACGCAGAAGGCGGCACCAGCAAAGCAAAGTCGGCTAACCAAAATTCGGCGCTGCGTTTCTTTTTGACGGTTGGCTCCGCTGTGATTGCGTCGATGGCGCGTGGCGTGTCAGATGTCAATCTTTCACCTGTCAAGATGCTAAAGTGACGGTAAATCTCAATGTCCAAATGATATCGATATCTTCGGTAAGCGTTCCGGCCTCAATTCCCCTTGTTTGATTGACCGATTTAGTATCTGAAGGCGCGGCGATCCGTAGACGATCTGTAGGGAGGTCTCTCCACTCTGGGACGCAAAAAGAACGACCGACAGGCTTTGTTGCGGGGGAGCGACAGACAGGCCTGGGACCGGGGTTCAGGTTATTGGTGAGGTGGTGTTCGGAATAGCAGGGTTGCGACGTTCGATGGGTGGAGATTGGCGCTGACGTCAGGGCCGAACGATCCACAAAGTGAAGGGCGATTGGTGTTGATTGGCGGCTACGATTGACAGAAATCTTCGCCAGCTGCTGGTTCTGCGGCCGTCGTCTCGAAAATCCGTTTCGTCTTGTTCTGTTCTGAAGATCCGATCTGGTGCCTAAGGGCGTGCCAATATCGATGTTCGTGCGAGAGTTCTTTTTCGGATTGATGAAGGACTGACGTCGATCAGATGCGAGGTTGGGTGTTAGCGAAAGGATTGCCCTAGAGCTCGATAGTTGTCGAAGGAGCGGGCGCGGCAGATAATAAGGCGAATTGACCTCGCTCGACGCATGAGGAAGAGATAAATCGGGTCTTGCACAAGGGAGGGGCGCTGCTTAATACGACAAGCAGGGGCTGACTTACCCTTTTCCAGCGATCCCGGTCAGCGGTCCGTGCAGCGAAAAAGTTGCTTGGAGAAGATTCGTGAAGCGGGCCACGAAAAAGTTCGAGACTTGCAAATAGGAATGCGAGAACACCGGAAAACCCGCAGCAGCCGACAACGAGGAATGGAATGCCAGCTTAAAGAAACCAAACAAGCCACAAACGAAAAACAACGTAGGAATGCCCGAATCAGAACTTCTTCTTCAATAAACGCAAGTATACAAACCGCGGCATCCAAAAGTTTCAGAAGCTAAGAAAAAGCGGGTAAAAGCTCGCGGGCTTCACGGGTTTATAAAGAATGATTCGATCCCGGATGTGGTGAGGAGATGGGCAAGGACCGGCAAGGACCGACAAGGACCGACAAGGAGGCCGGGTGGGGTGATTCGCAAGCGGAACCTGAGAATTCGGATTACCGCTCACGCCGCTGGATGCCAATGGAATGAAGCACAGCGGGATACGGTCTTTTTTTAGGGTTTCCTACCTGGATGTACACGCCGGCAAGTCTGAGACACCCGAGAAGCGTCGACGGCAAGCATGAAGGGTACCTACGTCCCATCTTGAGGGAGCCGGCAAAACGCATCTATCTCAGCTGGGGTCCAACCCAGGCCACGATAATGTCTCTGGAACTGACACACGCGACCGTTGTCCTAGGGCAACACAGGGGCTGCTGCTACCACCTGAGCCTTCGCAATGGCCTGTCTGTTTTCCATTCGATAGTCTTCAGTGACTCTGCTGTTGCTTAAGTAATGCCGGAACATTGAGAGACCTGAATCGGCGGATTGCCCGCAAATGGTCTGCGCTACTTGCTGCGCCCACTGATGAACACGAGATGGCGAAAGATGCTGCGTCACCTTTGAGATGATCCATCGAAGCTTGTTGGCTCATCTCCTCACCCATCAGGTTTCTCAACCAAAAGCACACGGCCCACCACGACCACATGTTTCCAAACATATGTTACTGTGGTACACGTCTTCACTGTCTATGAGCCAAGTGAACGGCAGATCTCGAACTGTGTCCCATCTCAAGAGACTCGATGTTCTGTTGATGATTGTTATTCCAGCACCTCATAAAAACGGCCAATGTTATACGTACACCGCATTTAGGTTTGGTAAGAATTTTCGGTACATGCGTCTGTACCTGGATTGAGGAGCCAGGCACACCCATAGAACGTTGCTACCCACGCCTTGGTAAATACGAGCTTGCTGACCTGCAGCGTAGTAGATCAGAGTAGTATCAGTGAGGCACCAGGTACTTAGTAAAAGGCGTCCACACACCATTTCTCGGAGAAGTCTTCCTGGTCAGGCACACAAGATTGGCGTTGTGATGCACTGGTTGAAACCAGGAAACCCACCGTGACCATTGTGTCTGACAAAATCAACCATGGTTCCTGTTCTTTGTATTGATATTGGATGTTATCTTGATTTTCTTGCATTGCCCCAATCCGAGCACCGACTTTCTCTGGACCGGTTTATGGGTTTCCTTGTCCCACGCAAACCACGATCACCACATCATACTCGCCTCTTTGAAGAGCCCAGTGTGGATAACTTTTGCCTTGTCAACTGAAGCCGCGTCGCGTCACGCCAACGGCCCGGTATTTTAGTGTTACAAACTCATGGGCTCGACCTTGTCCCTGTCGCCGGTATTTGTGTACACTAATCTCCAGCATCAACAAAGTGATTTTGGATCTTTCATGCAGGAGTGTGGGAAAGTTGCCAAAGTTGCGAATCGTGACCTGCCACGACAAAACTTAAACGAACTCGAAAAGCAAGTTTCTTTCTTTGACTATCGAAAACTCCGGGTCGGTCCCAAGCGGATGGAATCCGACTTTTCAATGTCCGAAAACGAACTCTTCGCTGGCCGAAGCTTGGCTTTCAGCAGGACAGGCATTGTTGAAGCATACCTTACGGTCGTTCGAACGATAAGACAAAGACCACCACGATTGGGGGTCCCATCCTGCCGGTTCCCGCCCCGCCCGGCCGAGGCTCTCTCTCGCTCCACTTTCTCCGGGTTGGTCAGCTCTCGTTGGGTGGCTTGGCAACGGTGTGTTTAGACTTTTAGCGTGGTCGTGTAATCGATAAGGATGGAGACAAGTTGATGGTAGCATAAAAGGGGATTTGTTTACTTTCTTTATCTTTATCTAAAGAACATCGTCACTGCGGTGACGCTGGATGGACACTTTCGCATGTTTCCGCTCCTGTCGTACAACCGGCATCGTACTTATTATGAATCAGGGTGCCCGCATTCTCTTCTCGAACCTTGGACAGATATATCGTCAAGACCCAGTTGGCTCATTTATCTAATACTTGCAAGTTGGCGTGGTGGCTTTCAGCCTGGTGTTACAAATCTCCACCTGCTTTTTCAATTGCCTTGCTAATTACTCCACTTTTCGACATGACTTCTCGAAGATATACGCTGCTTCGCATGCCTCCATTTAGGAGCCACCGAGGCCACAAACCACTAAATCGGCTGATAAACTGCACTTCCAAGCGCCCGGGACGGAAGGCGACAGCCATTGGCAACGAAAGAGTGTCGAAACATGATCTGCTGATCCGGTGTGGCTGGCACTTAACGATATGTTGATGAAGATCGCATTGCCTTAACGAATGACCCTAAAGGAACCTCGTCGATAGAGACCGGAATGTCCATTCTCCCTTTGACAAATTCTAATGTGACGATTTACCGCTGAACCAAGTTTCAGTAACGCAAATGCCGTTGATGCCTCTGCCCAAAACCAACGTGCCTGAAATGCCTCCCGAGCTTCAGACTGATGTGTGCATTCGGTTGTTACAAGTCATATTGGTCACTATAGGCAGACCTCGCCGGCCGAACCGTCCCCATACGGATGTTTTCCTCAAGGTATTACTCCAGCCACTTCCCAAGGCGTTGGGCCACGCAGTTCCGTTCCTACCGTGTGACCAAACGGACACTGCGATCACTGGCTGAGTTGGTACTGGGCATACCCAAGCTAGCTGGAGCCCGGGCCGTTCACAGTGTGTCGTGCGTTTCTCCCATGAAGGAGGAACTGGATAGTGACTGCTTAACATCTCTGGTTGGCACATGTCATCCCAAATGTCGCATCTCGGGGTCCCGTCTCGATAATAGGGGCTTGTATTCCGTCATCTGCATAATCTGTTAACTCCTTGGTTCAGATCTATCTCGTCTCATAATGTGGTCCCGAATGCAGAATCCCACTTTGATGAAGTGGGCCGTTGGTGGCCCCAAACTGTCCGCGTCCATACGCCACTCATGGTATTCCCAGAGGCGATGAGCATCCAGACCAAGTCCCAAAGCTCCTGACATCTGCCGCGCTCCGCCCCTGGAACCTTAATAACCAACCTATCCGAAGTTGGATCCGTCATGCTTGGGTCTTGGGCGAGAAGACAGATATCAATGTTGCCTAACCCATTCCCGAGCCTGTGGATGTCTCGAGTTCAAACAGTCTGTCGAATAGGGGGATTGTGTCGATATCCGAAGACTGATGGTGGAGCAAGAGCCCGGAGCGTTCGAGGGAGGACCTAAGACATGATCATTGCTATGGCATATATCCTTCTGGTTGGGTAGTGTTGCCCTTGCTGAGGTACGGGGACGCGGTTGTTGGTTCGTGCGGAGACCCTTCATCTCGAGATCGAACCGAACGGACACAGGGACATGGAGCAGTTGAACTAAATGCCCATCAAGGTTCTCACGAAACACGGTGTTGAGGTCGCGGGCCGCACATCTGTCATAAATCCTAGAACATTGTTAACCAAAGCTACAAGTGTTCAAGGATAGGTTTCATGGTCTTGGGTAGCAAAGCGTGGCTATTGTGATTGAGGGGGCCTGTTAAATATTAGCCCAGGCTGGCTTTGATTGATTTGTGACATGAGAAGACTCTCATCTCCTCTCCATTGCGCCGTTTCATGAACCACTTCCGTTGATGAAGCATTCGTCTCGCACCCTGCAGAGTAAACTGCGGGATCCTCAATGGCAATTGTTTGGCATGTCTCTTTTTGGTAATGCCTTTGATTTTGAATGCTAGAAGCAAGGCCCGTTTGCCGACCCTTGCTAATCCCTGATGCACCGAAATCATAAACCACCTTTACCACCCAACTCCGGCCTCATACGCTCCCTTTAGATAGTAGAGGGGTAGAGCATGATGCGGACGGAGGCACCGAAGGACCTGGCGGGGAGGGGAGTGGCGAACTTGGCGCGAACAACGCCGGAGTTGCCTGTGAAGTCAAAAGTCAGCATTCATCGTTCTAGCCAGAACATCGGGAAATGGGAATAATTACCGTGAGGCCTGGTGACCTTGCCCCAGATCACGCGGATCTTGGTGCCACGAACCTCCTTCTGGCCGCGGTAGACATAGGCGACGCGCTTGCCAAGGTAGAAGCTGTATCCCCTGTCAATATCCATCACCGTGTCTTTCGAACAGGTTTACCACGTACTTGGCAGCAGCAGTGTCATCAACACCCTCGATCTTGATCAAGCTGGTCTTGGGGTGGGTGGTGTGACGGCCACGCTGATAGCTCAGGTGGCGACCCCTATGCGATTCCTCACGTCAGTCCTTGCTCGGTACGTCGTCGTTTCTCGCTTCGTCGTTTCCCGAATAACCAATTCCCAGCAACTGTCGTTCTTGGGGATCGTTTCGTGGCGGCGCAGCAATCGGAAATTTGTTCGTATCGTCGATTCCTTTCGGGGATGGCTACTCACTTGACATATACTGCAGCAAACAGGGTCAGCAATGGACAAACTTGTAAAATCGCCACAAAGACACATGTACACGGGTTTCGCGACGACGATGCCTTCAAAGCGACGACGACAACACCGGCAATGTTCTTTGCGCAAGTGGTTTGGGAGTCTCACATCTGTGGCCGGCTTCGGTAGGCATCTTGACTGGCGATATGTTCCGCTTGATCAAAATTTCCCTGCCACGATAAAAGGGAACTCAGCAAGGAGTCTTGTATGAAGACAATTGCTGATCCGGAGTCCTGCGTTGGGCGACGTGGTTGTGGCTCTGCACTTCGACGGCTCCCGGTAATTCGAAAATTGCCTGGTGGGAATTTGGTAGGGTTTGTGGTGCTTTGGACGGTTCGGAGTTTCTTACCTTCCGAAAAGTGTGCGCCGCGCGAATGAGAGCCCAGAGCGCGTCCTTCCAGCAGGGTCAGGTGTGGCTGAGGCTCGTGCACCAGCCACTTCACATGATCCCTGTAAGAGCGCGACCTTCATGTGCATGTTCCGATAACGCATGGTATCCACCAGACTTTATCGTTATCGTTATCTTAGCTCCTTTGCGATCCATGATGCAATCGATGGGTTTTTCTGCTCCCCTTTGGTTTGCCCCTCACTGTCATTGTCAATGGCTCCCGTCCCGAGTCCGGACAAGCTCCCGAACTGACTGTGACCCCCACATCCACACTCCAACCTCAACTTCCACAGCCTTGAGATGAGATGAAGAATGCCCGGGCTCCCGGCAGCAGCTTGCAACACCAACGAATACTGTTGTTTTAAAGTGTGTTGCAGATGGCCTCTATCCCTGTCACCAACACCCGTAAAAGTTTTCGTTTTTTCTTGACGATGGTGAGAGCAGGCGAACTGCCTACAACATAGATCTAGTGAGCTCAAAACAAAAGGTCTTTCGGGCCTGTTTCCGCAGCTAACCTAGTGAACCGGGGCATGCACACTCCACTCGGTGTGTGCTATTGTTTATATCCGAAGCTGCAGATGTCGTTCTGCCCAATTTTACCGGCAGAGACTATGACAGTAGAATGGCATATAGGTAAAACACCACAACCTAGAGCGCTTTCCGGGACAATGCGTTTTCGTTAACTCCGACCTCTCGAGTAGAAAACGTCCCGGACACCTAAAGGTAGGCATTGAACTACTGTTGCTTTCCTCAAGGTTTGAGGGTTGTACATATATCTACTTTGTTAGCCTGTTCCCTAAGGTGTGGGTTGACACGGCGCCTTTCACGAGTGCGCGTGGCGTAAGACCGGCGATTTACCTCAAATCCCGATTTGGAAGTGAAATGACCGGTACTATACTTTGGCAATTTTCGTCTGGCGAACTGCAAAGTTCTGGCAAACTTCCATGTTTCTTCACACCGGTGAAGAGAACATGCTTTGTCTGTACCTTAGGAGCTTAGTTACCTGGTTTCACCCTTCCCCAACGGAATTTGGATGGTTTGTCCCACGTACCTGTCTTGGGTACTCCGGCGGCGTTTCAGTAGGAGAAAACATATTGCGCCTTCCTGCTGTGAACGGATATCGGAACAATAACCTGTCAGAGGAGCAAAGCCAAATCTCTAGCCCATGCAACATAGTCCGGTGGTTGCGGTATATTTACCCCCGACCGACCCTGAAGAGAGCATGGGTCGTCCAAAGTCTACAGGCTCACGGTTGGAAAAGAGGTTGAGGTATGGAGCCATCCGTACCTCTACGGTCCTGAACACGGATCCGATCAACTTTTTCGCAACCCCCCACCATTCCCAACAGAAGCCGAAAGGGATCCATCCATGCAATTTGGACTTCTCCAAGCTCCAAATTCATCAGGTCCTCGTCTTGTAATTATGCAAGTGTGCTCTTCAGACCCGGAACGTTTACCTAATGTATCAAACTCTTGAGGCGTGAAACCCATCACCGACCGAGGACCAGATTAGCTCAGGTAGCTTATTATGACCGTACCCACTCGTTCTATACTGTCAAAAATTGTCCAGGGGCAACCCTGTTACGGCGCAAGATCGGAGCGAAAGCTGTCACTGTCTGGACTTCTATCCGGCGGGAGTCATCTGGTCAGCAGTCGAGGAACCATTTGACGGCACTCGCTTCGGATCCATACCCTGGCTCTCGGTTCCATCGCCAGAGGCTACGCAGACGACGGCTTCCATAACGCTGGGGTCCGGATAATGTTAAGACATCTATCAACCGGAGATCGGTGGAACCATGACATCTATAGGGCAAGCACGGAGCGGGACCGATGCCCAGCTTCGCGAGGTTACCAGCACCCAACACCGCATGTCTTAACCCCGGCCAAACTGAGCAAGTCTGAGCCAACCTCCACAGCTCCCGTCCTGGGACATGGAATGGATGTAAGCATGCATGGTATCGCTGAATCTGACGGGGGAAGAAGCCAATCTGGCGGCCCTTTGTTTGATGCGATCATTCCGGAGGAGGAATATGGGCATCTATCATGCATTAGGTAACATGAACGGGACAGGAGTTCCATCCGGAAAGGCCGGCGGGTTGGGGATTGTTCCAAAGAAGCAAAAGCTCTCTTGTTAAAGCTGTTATCAGATGGGGCCAAAGCTTTGGAGGCGGCTTGGCATGTTCACTCGGTCGTTCCCCTTCATGAGGTAAGTGGTGCCAGGGTACGCACCTACCTAGCGTGCGGTGCGGGGCCGTGAGTAAGCTTGCCCCTCGTGGGCCGTGGTCCATCAACTGGACTGACTGCAGCAGCAGCAGCTCTAGTTCGAGGGTCGCAGGCAGTCTGCGCATCATTCGCTCCCAAGGTGCCCTGGACCGGCCAGGTTCCAGGTTGAGGAAGGTTCCTTCACCCAAATACGCCGTAGAAATACCATTCACTTTAACCCCGAAACCTGACCAAGCTTGCCCACTCCGTCCTAATACTTTCTTCAACCCCCATCGATCAACAACACAATCCTCTTCTTCCACTTTTCTCGTCGCCCTCACAGTCTCTTCTTTTTCCCTCGCGCAACCACCAACGCGACGAACTCGGAATATCGATTCACACAAGACGACCGCTACGATGGCATCTGATCATCATGGAGCGTGAGTGCCCTCGCCCCGCCATTATCAGTCATTGCGTGGTGGAGCTCAACAGCTTTTGGGGTTCGTTCGCATAGCTCTGTGCGGATTAGTGTTTGGGCATATCTGCCAACCTACGAATCCTGTCTGAGCGAGCCCGGCGAAGAGCTTCCACCATAGGCATCCTCATTATACGGTTAATTGTTGGTGATTTAGAAGCGCTTGCTAACAAACATGGCGTCACAGTGCGGTAGAGCTCAAGGACAACACCGTCGTTGTTGTTCTTGGTGCCTCTGGCGATCTCGCTAAGAAGAAGACCGTGAGTTATGCCTACCCTTGGGGCTACCTACTTCATATGGCAATCGACTGACGTGCATTTAGTATCCCGCGCTCTTCGGACTGGTGCGTATGCCCTCTTCTGGGATGCCCACGACTAGGAACTAACGTTATTCTTGTAGTACCGCAATCAGTTTTTGCCCAAGGACATCCGGATCGTGGGTTATGCTAGAACCAAGATGGACCACGACGAGTACATCCGCCGCATCAAGTCGTATATCAAGACCCCTACGAAGGAAAGCGAGCAGCAGCTCGAGGAGTTCTGCTCCATCTGCACATACGTCTCCGGCCAGTATGATCGCGACGACTCCTTTTTGCAGCTCAACAAACATTTGGAGGAACTCGAGCAAGGAAGGAAAGAGAACAACAGACTCTTTTACATGGCTCTGCCCCCCAGTGTTTTCACCATTGTTTCACAACACCTCAAGAAGTGCTGCTACCCCTCCAAGGGCGTCGCCCGTGTTATTGTAAGTCAGCTATTGTTTTCGTTGTACCTCAGCCCTCGTCTAACACTGCATACAATAGGTCGAGAAACCGTTTGGCAAGGACTTGGCGAGCTCTCGGGAATTGCAGAAGTCGCTTGAGCCCGACTGGAGGGAAGAGGAAATTTTCCGCATCGATCACTATCTCGGAAAGGAGATGGTGAAGAACATTCTCATCCTGCGCTTCGGCAACTCCTTCCTCGGCGCTACCTGGAACAGGCATCACATCGACAACGTTCAGATCACATTCAAGGAACCATTTGGTACCGAGGGTCGTGGCGGTTATTTCGACGAGTTCGGCATTATACGCGATGTCATGCAGAACCATTTGTTGCAGGTTCTTACGCTGCTTGCCATGGAGCGCCCCATCTCTTTCTCCGCTGAGGATATCCGTGATGAGAAGGTGCGGGTCCTCCGCGCCATTCCGGCAATCGAGCCCAAGAACGTCATCATTGGCCAGTACGGAAAGTCGCTTGACGGAAGCAAGCCTGCTTACAAAGAAGACGATACCGTCCCCAAGGATTCCCGCTGCCCCACTTTCTGTGCGCTAGTTGCGTACATTAAGAACGAGCGTTGGGACGGCGTACCCTTCATCATGAAGGCAGGCAAGGCCTTGAACGAGCAGAAGACCGAGATCCGCGTGCAGTTCAAGGATGTCACATCGGGCATTTTCAAGGACATTCCTCGCAACGAGCTTGTCATGCGCATTCAGCCCAACGAAAGTGTCTACATCAAGATGAACTCCAAGCTTCCTGGCCTGAGCATGCAGACCGTCGTCACTGAGCTCGACCTTACCTACAGGAGACGCTTCTCCGACCTCAAGATTCCTGAGGCCTACGAGTCTCTCATCCTTGACTGCTTGAAGGGCGATCATTCCAACTTTGTCCGTGACGATGAGCTCGATGCCAGCTGGAGAATCTTTACCCCTCTGCTCCACTATCTCGATGATAATAAGGAAATCATCCCGATGGAGTATCCTTACGGTATGTAATCGCCAGAAAGTTCTATGGAAAGACTCAGCACTAACACTGTCTAGGTTCTCGGGGTCCGGCTGTTCTGGATGACTTTACGGCCTCGTACGGCTACAAGTTTAGCGATGCTGCGGGCTACCAGTGGCCCACAACCTCCGCTATGGGTTCGGGCATGAAGCTGTAAATTCGCGGGGTGCTGGCCCTCATCCGTTCGCTCCGAATGATGGAAGTGCTTTGGTACACGTCGCTTAATCTGCGTCATGATATGGCAGAGGAAGCAGTTGTATCATGTCATGAGCAGAAACGTTGGGACTAGATCTTGCTTTCATATTCCCCTTAGTTTTTCTGCGTTTTCTTTTTCTGTGATGCTGGGAAAAGCATTCAAAGACAATTTCATGAGTCAAAAGAGGCATGTATGGGTTTATAGGTAACAGCGGGCATAGCTGTTATGTCCTTCACGATCCGAAGAGAACAATTTATGATAAGGTTCCTTTCTTATTGGTGTTAGGGATACAGGTGGTGACTCGGCACTCTCGTGCCTGGGATGGTTGAAGACATGAAGGGATGTCTTTTCTCTCTGAGGTGAATTTGAGTAGCCAAATAGTTAGAGAAAGCTTCTTACCTTAACGGCCAGCACATTTATATCGAACGTTGCACATTGCGCACTTTACAGTAATCTTTGGATCTAACTTTGCAACTATCCATATCCGTCCTACGGACAGATATTGTACCCAAGGCGTTATACGCAGTACACAACCAGAATGCCCACCAGAGGGCAGGCACGTAACGTCATGGATTGATACGGTACCGATTCAATGTTAGTGCATGCGACCGTATTTACAATGTAATACTCCGAGCGTATTGTAACAAATCCTGAGGAAGCCAATGTGTATGGGGGAAGACGACAGGTGCTGAAGTTGTAACCGTAACATGAAATCTGGTATGTACGTTCTTTGTGATTGATAGCCGGATAGGAAGCATAGTACGAGTATTTTGAACAGCTGAATGTCTCAATGCGAAGATTTCCAAATTTTCCAAACTTTCAATGGGCGTAGTCAGCCTTGCGGCTGTCTTCTCTCCATTGTGTCGGTTGGAAGATCCACAGTGGTACTTACCTCTAGGTGCTGGTAAGGTAGGTACTTCCTGCTCTGGCTGGCTGCGCAATGGGTACTGCACCGGGCGAGAAGTGTAGTGACCCCAGCCTCACCACCTACACCTCTGCATGGATATAACTTATTAGTGTGGGAATTGGCAGATCTTTCTAAAGATAGTGAATTCTTATTTCTAAAGTAGCAACGAAGATGCTAATATATCTTGATATACTCTTTCTAAGAGATTCTGTAGCAAAGTACCTCTTTTTTAAAAGTAGAACTTCCGGCGGCCGGTTTCTACTTAGGCTACCATTTTATCTCTTCTCCTCAACTTCTTTCACTTTCAACTTACACCACCATCACAATATCTCAATCGAGAAGCATTACAATTATTAACTTTTTAAATTCTCTTTTTAATTATAAAAAAAGACTAACACTCCTCAATTATCTTGAAATAAAAGAATTCAAATTCAACCTCTTTAAAAAATTAAAATAAATTACGCTAATATCTTTCAGACACCAGCTTCACCATCCGGCAAGTGCAATTCGCATACATTAACATTATTACTCTCTAAAAGCGAAAAGAAAAAAAAGCGTTTTTTTTTTTAAAAAATATCTTAAAAAATAAATTGCGAAAATGGATAAGAATTAATAAAACTCGGAAATTCATTTTTTAGGGTAACCTTCCTCTTTTTCTTTTTTTTTATTTCCTTGTAAGGGTTCTACGAGATATACACGCAGGTAGGCCTTGGTGAAAGTGATAATATTTAACAAAGAGGAAAAGGAAAGTCTGTGCCAGTATGGCATACAGCTTACAGCTAAATACACAAGAGAGATGCGGATTGTAATAGCAGCCTTGCAGTTGTGCCTCTCAACTACCATCACAATTATATAAGATAACTTGAGCGACCGAATTGCCAGCTTTGGTTACTTATATTCTTTTGGAACATATCCTAGTGATGTAGTGGTCCGCCAGCGCCATAACACGGATATCAAAGGTACCAGAAACGCCAAGGTCAGAAATGTAGTTCGTGCAGCGCACCTCAAGAGTGCACTCAACCGGAGAGCAGGCTTAGTCTATATAAGAGTAATTTGTTACTTTAAATCCAGGAAACAATTTTAAAATTTTTATTTTAGCAAAAAAAAAAACCTCTCCATAAATAAATGCTTTAGCAATACTTTACTAGAAGAAAAAAATGACTTTATCTTTTTTGGAAAAAGGAGTTTGGAGGAGTTTCCGCCTAAAATATATGTTTTTCATTTTTTCTATAATCGTAGCTTTTATTCGAAAAAAAGAAGGCATTGATTACTACAATTTCGTCTTTTAATAAAATAACGCTTTTTTTTTATTAAGCTAAAATTATTTAAAAATTAATCGAAGAATTAAGAATTTCATTATTGTCCAGAAAGGGAAAATTTATATATTTTCTAGATTTAATACCAATTGAGAACTTTTAGCCATAGATAAAATCATTTATAGAGTTGAAATACAATATTCAATCCCTAACACCAAAGAAACTGAAAAAGGCAGTAAAAGAAGCCTTGGATACTATTCTAAAAGAATTTCTTCTAAAGTTAGCTCATTCAATACTAGAAAGAATAAGAAAAGTAATAGAAGTGAATAGTAATTCCATTAATTATTAAATAATAAATTTCTTTCTTTCTTATATAAAGATCCTAGTTTTCTGTAACGCCACTAGCGCCTTGGCTGTACCACGCTAGCAAGTTACATCCATGCAGAGGTGTAGAGAAGGACATTTCACCTGCCACGGTGGACGGATCTCCATTCTTCCTCCCTGGGCGCCCACTTTATCGCAGACTGCCCGACAGGGAGGGCATTTATCACTGGTAACCTGCCTCGCCTGCCAAACAGAGGTGACGGCACCACCACAACGAACCTTTCAAAGGCAACCCGAACCAGACAAGTGATCCACGCGCACGCGCACTTCGACTTCCACGTAATCATCTGTCGCTTCTTTCCCTTGACCTCCGTTTCTAGCGTAAATCTGATTTCTTTGACCGACTCGGGCAAGCATCCCATTCTAGGCTCGCACCTGGCACCTACCGCCTTCCTCACTCTACGAACCAGCGCGTGTTGTATTTTCGATCGACTTCCACTTTTGCCCACCTCCACTGCCGGGCAAATCTGAAACCCGCTGCCACTTTGACATCAACCACGATCCGATACGGTGCCATACCTTCGCCCACCAGTGCAGCTTTTTTTCAATCCACTCGCCACTCGAAGTAATAAGCAATCGTTCTGTCTACGTCAATCTCAACGTTTGAGCCGCTGTTTGATGCGCGCTCCCCGGTGCCTCCTTGACGAAGAAACTCCGTAGTGGGCGTTCTTACCGTTCGCCTTCTCTCGCTTTTGGACATCATCGACACGTCCGCGATCACAACCGGCACACGACCGACGATATCCCGCTATCTCGCGACACGCTTCCGATTTTGCGTGGTATTTGCCGAAGCTGTTACACTTTGACAACCGACTCCCGTCTTTGCGATTGCATTTCTAGACATTATTTCAGCACCACACGACACTGGGGACGCTCTTTGGGCGAGCGTTGTTCGCGCGGCAGTAAGGCACGCGCAGGATGGAAAACGGACACATGAACGGAGTACGCACCCATCACGACAGGAACTCGTGGACGAACGGCGTCAATGGAGGCGTGGTCAAGCGGGAGGGCTCGCCAGATAAGGGTAAAGCTCTCGCAAACATGTCGGGCTCGTCAGCCATGACCAACGGCGGAAGTGCCTCCTTCATGGACGTGGACAGCCAGCCGCCCGGCGGCTCCAAGTTCAACGATCTGCCCGAGGAGATCCAACACATCACCGCGGATATTATGCCTCTAAGCCTACTCCTGACCAGACTGTCACAATGGACTCACTCGAAGTTGCAAGACGAGATCGCATACCTTGCCTCCAAACCCCTACCACAACCCGTTCTGAACGGAAACACTAGCCACCAATCCGCGGACAATCACGACACATCGCAGGAGAGCCTTGAAAAGAAGGTTCATCTCCTCAACTTTCTGCAGGACATGCACTCGAAATGGGTCAAGACCCTTGTTATTACCGAATGGAGCAAGAAGGCGGCTCAGGTTGGAGCCCTGATTGACATCAGGGTGCATTTGTTGACCAAACAGGCTCACTACCAAGAACTCTTCTGGGAGTTGATCAGGATGAAGCAGGATCTTCATTGGGCGAAAGTACCAGGCCCAGATTTGAAGACGGCCCTGGAAGTTTTGACAACTGGTCAGGCGCCCTGGATGCCCGAGGTAAGTCGATGGTCCAGATTATGCTCTGTGGCTTGATGTTCTGACAACGTTAGTTGGGATATATCGAGCCTCCTCCTATAACCTGGGAGGAGAAAGAAGCGTTTATCGACAATATCAATACCATGCTCAGCGTACGACTGACCTTCGACGAACACGAGAAAATCCCGGCTCCTTTCCGTGACTACAACATCGCGAACGGAAGGGTCACGTTCAAAGCAAAAGGGGAGTTTGAAGTCGACTTGACGATTGGTGATGAGGACTTTGAGCAACAATTCTGGTTCATCGACTTCCGCTTTCTTTTCACCCCTGCTCCAGCAGAGCTGTCTCACGGTGTGCGCACCTTTCTTGAGAACAAGATCAACATAATCCTGGGAAACGAGGGCTTGGCAGGGTGCTATAAGTATCTTCATGAGTTCGTGTTGACTCAGAAAATTGTTGAGTTCCGTCGTCAGGCGAACGAGCTTGCCGTGGGCAGGTGGGTTGATACGTTGAAGGTCGAAAAACTCAACCGTGCCATGTCTATCCAGTACTGGCTCAAGCCTCCGAACAGCCTGGAGGGTCCTTCTTCGCAAACTGCCAAGAGCTGGATCTTGCTAGGGGTATGGAGCGAAAATAGTGTCCAAGAAGACCTCGATTCAAAGCCTTCAAGTTACATCAACCTACGGTGGTTCCGCGACAACAAAGAAGTCAAGGATTTCGAGATTCCGCTCGATGTTGAGACAATTTCTGCGGAAAAGCTTCTGACGGCAGTTATTGCAAGTCACGTTGAGTACATACTCACGTCGATATCAAGCAAGCTTCTCAGCAAGCCTCGATTTGCACAGAAGCATGCAAGACTTGACGTGAAGATCTCGAAGGAGGAGCCACAGAATTCTTCCTTGGCGGTACAGCTATTCGACAATGACGAGGCTGTCATCAAGATCGAACCGTTGACGGGCTTATTTACACTGTTCCCGAGGTCTCCGGTCTTCTTGAAGGGGCAAATGAAGCTGAATACCAGTTCCAATGCGGCGGAAGAGGGCGCACACCTCATGGAACAACTAAGATTCGACTATACAGTCAAGGATCTCAACAGCCGCGTAAGGAGTATAGGCTGGTTTGTTTGCCGTCCGCCAATTACGCAGGAAGAGACCAAGGCTATCGTCTACTCGGATGCTTCTGGATCTCGGGAACCTTTCAAGGCAGTTTGGCTCAGAAAGGCAAATTGGATGACACGACAATGGTTTGTCATGATGAGCATGAGTCTTGGTGGGGACCAATGGTGGCTAATAGACCTGTGAGTATAATGCTGATCAGATAATATTGATGATTGATAATGTGCTAACCTGAATAGCTCACCACCAAAGCCCAACTTCCCTGCCGGCCGCCTGAGGCTGTTCACCAAGATGCCCATGACGTCCAACCAACTGACGTTGTCGGACACCTTCTTCCGAAACTTGTCTGTCTACGCCGCTGGCATGATTTCACATATCACCGATCTTCGCAAGCTACATACCCTCAAGAAATCACACACCGCACTCGAGTTGCCAAACCACAGCCTACCACCACAGGTTAGACTGCCTACGATATATGTGCGGCTATCAGAAATGCTGGAAAAACGTCCTGGATCCAGCAGCCGCACCTTGGCATGGGCGAAGGACTTCGTGCCCATCATCTTTAAGGGAGTCCGGACTCACACAGGTGACCAAGAGGGTCCAGCAAATGCCACAGCCGCTCAGGTCCGGCGTGATACGCCGGCTAAGATTCGGGCAGAAGCTAGATTAACTGTGATCGACAGGAGCAAGTTCAAATCTCTTCGCGGAAATGTAGACCACGATGTGGTCTACAACCATCGTACCGGCCAGTTCTCGCTTAAGCTGCGGGCGGATATGGGTACTCCCGTAGTCGATTTGCTTGCCGATCGCGTACAGGCCCTTGAACGCTTGATGGAGTTTGTTGAGGCCATAAGACTGGCTGGTAGCAACGCAATTCCTCAAAGTGTTGCGCTCCGCGAGGTTGTTTTCACCTACAGCAACGATCCAGCAGAAACTGTTTCCAACCCGCCACAAGGTCCTCGTGCATGGAGCGTACACTTAGACCTCCCCAAAGGTGCCAAGGTTATCCTTACCCTCGAAAAAGGGAACCCTCATATGCGCGCGCTGGATATGTTGCAAGAGATGGCGCAGTCTACCAAGACCGAGCTCCTGCCGTCTTATCTTCCATTTTCTCTGCCACTGTACAGAGTGCTGGACAGGATCGAGGACGAGTGGGACAACATTGCGGCGAAGAATGCAGGCAGTGTGGCGATCGTGGTAAAAGCGGCGGAGTGGGTAACGGTCAGGTTCAAACTCCCTGCTCCGACCACTCGGCGGTTGTTGTGTCTTGACATCAGGACCATGGGTCGCAAAGGTAGATTGTTGTGGCACGTCAAGCGTACTGATGAAAAGGGACACGAACGTCCTCTTAACGGCCCGCAGGACGAGTTTGACACACTTCTCCAGCGATCGGTATGGCATGCTCATGGCGATGGAAGGAAGAGCTTTGGTACCAGCGCCGCTGCTGACCCAAAGATCGGTATTGAAACACTGCTATGGTCAATCAGCGAGTCAGTGAAATCGTTGGTCGGTACAGCCCCGCCACCGCCCATCACCGCTCCTCATCCAGGAGGCGGAGTACAAGATGTTAAACAAAGCCCTCAGCAACCACCTCAACAGCTGGTCGTTACACAAGCTACACAAGCTGCACAGGGAATTCCCCCACAACGACCGAAGCAGCAGCCGCCTCCCTCATCCCAATCACAACAGCAGCACCGGTCCGTAAACCAACCGCAAGCTCAACCTCAGCCTCAGGCCCTGCCCCAAACTCAGGTCCAGCTTCCACAGGCTCAGGTCGCTCAGCTCCAAGCTCAGCGCCAGGCACAAGCCCGCGCCAACAACAACCGGTTCGTCAACCGCGCCCATCCTGGCCAGCCACAACAGCGGCAGCCAGGCCCTCCAACCCAGGCACAGCAGCAGCAGCAACGGTACCAGATCCAACAACAGGCCCAAGCGATGCAGCGAATGCAACAACAGCAACAGCAGCAGGCCGCCCAACAGCACGCCCAACAGCAAGGGGGTCAAGTCCAACAAGGCCAGAGACCTGTTCACGGCGGCCAAGGAGGTCCTCAGGGCGTGCCGCAGGGACAGCCGGGTCAGGGTGGTGCCGGTGGTGGTGGTATGGGCGGGAAGAATGCCCCTGTGGTAGTTATCGATTAGGGGAAGATAACTATTCGTTGGTCAAGCAAAAAATAAGAAGGAAATCCGGGTACTCGCACGAGTGAATGAGGTGGATGTATATAAGTCATAGTTGTGTAGTTGCGTTAGTCGTTACCAGGCATTTATGGAGCGAGGCCACGAAAGAAAAAGAGAAAGCGGATTTTAACTGAATTGGTATTGACTGATATTTTTTTCTTACCCACGCATCTGGAAAAGAGGGGAGGGGAAAATGGCGAAAGGAAAAAGTAAGAGGGAGCAGAGGAAGGAGTTCGGAGCTCATTATTAGAAAGAAATTTCCTTCTATTACATACTTCCCCTAGGCGTGGAGGTGATCACAGTTGAAGAGAGAAAGAGAGAGTTTGTGTATGCGTGTGTGTGCGAGAGGGAGAGATGCGGGAACAGAAAGGGGAAAACAAGAAACCCCCATGGGGAGATTTCCCTTCTATTACATACAGTGATGGTCAAAAAAAATACTATCCCTCCCAACCCATGTTGAATGCACCGCCGGGAGGGACAGTAATTTTTGACCGTCACTCTATGTACGGTCACCCTCACCTATACTGGATGCACTTTAGGGGTGACAGCATTTCTTGACTATCAGTTTACTTGCCTAGCAGTTGTTGCTGGCAGGAGACAGAGGTGAACGTTAAAATTTTTAAAAAAATTTGGGCGAGCTTGAGAGGGAGTGGGAGAGCCAGCCAGCCAGCCAGCTAGTATGAAAATACTAAATCTCATGACACATACCAAACTCGTTTGTTGGTGGCTAGGTGGTCACCACATCGTATCATATATACGCAAGCGAGCCACCTGCCGGACGGGCGGTCTATGATATGATCATCAATATCTAGAGAGGGATACCGTACGTACGTACGGGACGGTGAGAACGGTTTGATGCTGGGAGTTAGTTGGTTGTTGGGACTGACTGACTGAAGGAAGGACGGAATATCGTGCGTGCGGAGCGGGTGTGGAATCCATTAGAGGTAGTTAAGCATGAGTAGCCACTGCAACGAACGCCACAGGAGAACAAACGAAGTACTTGGAAGGCAATAGATAGATTAGATAGATAAACAAGTTGACCAGCGAGCGAGCGGGTCCGTCCGTTTTCGCTTGAGTGTCCTAAGCTTTCTTTCGCATGGCTTGCTTGCTTGCTAGACAGGACTGGTTTTCCATATGAAAGGATGTTGCGTGCATGAGGTCTTGGTGTATGAAGTCATTCCGTTCATTGCGTACGAGTGTTCACGCCGGACTCAAAATAGATTTGATGATGGATCATCATCATCATATTGAACGACACGCCTATATGATAGCTATGTAGCCTCCGTGCTGTATACAGGCTCTTTGTGTAATAACATAGGAGGACACGCTTGACCAGATGATATTCAAGATTCAATATATGGATAGTATGCATGGAAGTTGAGTATGTGCCCATTCCTCCACGGAGTCAAGTAGGGTAGGGTAGGGTAACTTGTTCCCTTATATCTCTATATATCTGTAATGTACACTGGTTGACTGTTTATTTCATTCTTCAGATTTTCTCTTTATTTTCCGTTGCGTTGCGTTGCCGGCCCGGTCCTCTCGGTCTGCTTCCTACCAAGTCTACGACAGGCCAAAATATGTTTTTCGTCCCTATTCCAGCCGGCTGCGAGCATCGGCCGAAAGCATCCTGAAAATGGTCTTGAACGGGTTGCCAAACTTCAACGGGAATATTTCCTTCTCATCCTGGATCCAAGACTCCGACATCGGTCTGGTGAACCGCTGCAGACCCGTATTCCCAACCGGGTGCGGCACCATTTTGTTCGACAACTCGTAAGCAATGTCCGCAGCGCCGCGCAGCGCGCTGTTAATCCCGGGCGTCTGGTACGAGCCGCCCACCACGGACAGGTTGCCCTTGAAGGCCTTGAGAAGCTCGTGGTGCGCGTCCGCCATGCGCTCACGGTGGCCGACTGTGTGCTGCGGGATGCAGTCGCGGCAGAGCTTGGTGGTGGCCACGGCGCCAGCGGCGTCCTCCTCGGAGATCTGCAGGTGCCGCTCGACGGCCCTCTTGGCCATGTTGATGCACTTGTTCTCGTCGTACATGTAGGACGGCTCCGTATCCCAGTAGTGGCCGCCCATCATGACAGTTAACTTGGTGCCGGGGACGGTGTCACCGCCGTAGTTGCGGCCGCGATGCTCGCGGTCCGAGTCGAAGAGCACGCCGAGGATGCCCTCATGGTTGTCCGGCGTGGTTGAGGGGATAAGATAGCCGATACCGTTGAATGGTGCGTTGAGGTTTGGGGTTGGGTACCAGATGTTGACGACTCGGATGGTGACGGCGGTCGAGCGTGCTAGAGAGGGAAGCTTGTTGACTGTGAGCCCGGCCAGAGTCTTTGCGTAGATTGTTGACACGACTTTGTCGTGTAGGGCGGCCTGAACATTTTTGTTGGATTTGATCTGGCGCGAAGAGTTAGCATGTGATACCGCATAGTCACCACGGCTGGTGATCAGCCTGGTAGATCGCCGGCGAATCAGTATAAGCCTTCGTTCCATAGAAAACGTACCGCTATCTTTTGTGATGGGTGAAGAGAGATAGACTGCACGGGAGTGTTGAGCTTGAAAGTGACGTTCATCCCCCTATCCATCAACTCCCGTATGAGTGCGTCTGTCATGGTGCTAAAGCCATTCTTGAACCAGATATATTCCGAGTTCTCTCCTTTGGCCATGTAATTGCGCAGGAACTTGGTCATGTCGTCGGGTGAGTACACCCGAAACATCCTCCTCATGAACTCATAATCCTCCTTTGGATACCAGATTTTACCCTTTTCCGGGCTCGGTAATGTCACCTTGGAGAACAGGCCGCTCTGCATACTGAGGTTCCGTATATTGCCGCCCCATACGCCATGCATCAAAGCGCCGAGAGTGTTGTTAATAAGCTCAGGAGTTCCCGTAGCGCGCCGGAAGAAGTCGTAGACCGATTGATCTTCTCCGTCCTTGAGCGTCTTTTTGCGCCCGCCCCCAAAAAAGTATTTCATAGCGGCCGAACCGGCACCCTTAAAAATGGGCTCGTTTAAGGTTGTTTGCACCGCGCTATAAATCGAAGCTGCCGAATCAAGGGGTCGATTCTTGTCCAAGATGGGCTGCGGCATCGCGACAAGATGATCGGGGTAATAGATGTAGTTGCCCAAAGGCTCGTGTTCGTTCGTAACTTCAAGTTCGTTTTCTAAGTCGAGGTCGGCCACCTAGTGACAGATAAGATCAAAGCAGGTTAGCAAGGACAGTCCAACATAGCGAGCTACCGAGTACCTACCGGCGTCCAGCAGAGGCTGTACATACTAACTTCCAGAAGATCAAATCATCGTACTTGGCCTTGTTCTTCATCGTCTTGAGCATGCGGCCGCCGCGCTGGAAGAGCACCTTGCCCTCTTCGCCTGACGGGGTTGTGACATGGACCTCCTCCGTGTCAATCCAGCCGCCGAGCCTGTTAGACGCCTCGTAGACTGTGATGCGTGCATGGGGGTTGTGGAGTTTAGCGAAGTAGGCCGTGGCCAAGCCGGTCAAACCACCTCCGATGATCGCGATATCCTTCGGGAGCTCTGTCGTTGGGGGCGGTACCGACGTCGAATATGATCGGGTCTTGCCAGTGGCGGCGAGGGCGGAGCAGGTGGCATTGTGTCTCTTGCTGGTGGTTACCGCGGAGCCAAAAGCACAAGTGCTTGCGAGCCGTGAACTCGATAGGGTTGCTGGTTGCGCCCACTTGCTGCTGACGCACCGCCGCGTGTTGCGCGCCAGACTGCGCTGACTAGTACTGTACATCATGAGAAGTTTGAGGCCTTCGTGATCCTCATCCCGTGCCGTTCAAAGGCCTGCCGTGTTGGCCTTGTGTTAGATATGCAAAAGCTCGGTATCGTCGACGAGCGTTCGATGATGTTGCCGGGCCGAAGAGTTGAAATTAGGTTTTTGTTGACGGGAAGAACAAGGGGCCACCATGCATGTGACGCACAACATGCAAGGGACCTTGTACTGCTATCCGATCTTGGAAGACTGATGTGCGTGGGTGTCTGGCCGCACAAGTTCTTGGAACGTATAGCTAAAATCCTGAGCCGTGAAAGGATTTTGGCAAACCAATTGAACAGAAAGAGAAAAAGAAAAATGTTGGAAGAAATCCAAATGAAGGTGCGGGGTGGACAGGCCCAGTTACAAACATCGACAAGAATTAGCTCCGGCAAGGCCACCCACCCCTCCTCGGCACCCGTAACCCGCTCTGGTGGCCTGACAGGTCGAGTCACGGCAGACCAGGCCGGGGTTGAGCCGCTCCGCCGTCCGCGTTCCGACTGCCGGGCATGCCGATCGTGATCGGGTCATCACAGGATATCACACGGAAAATCGAGAAACACTCAAACATGTAAGGAGTGCTGAAACAAATCAAGGTATAATGCTTATAGCTATTCGCTTAAATTTTGCAAATGCTGCTATGCTACGGAGACCAATTCCTTTGTTCCCTTCCAGTGCCATAGGTATACCCTCCTCCAAGACAGAGCACCTCATTCAATATAGTAAACATGTAGACGAAGTCGACTCCTTCCTTGGATTCCAATTGTATGCTAACCCCTTTCTGCCGGAACGCCGCATGGACAGCAATCATGAATAAATCTTAAGCATCCAGTCTTTGACCCACACATCCCAGTGATATAATACAGAACCAAAACACCCTCCTAAAGACCACCAAGTCCTTCTGGTCCAGTTCCCTTCCCGCACGATTGCCACATATCTTTAAGTGGCACCTGCCTTTGAAATTCACACTTTTCTTCTTTCCTTGACCCTATCACTCAAACGACAACCTCAGGCATGTTGGCGTCCGCTTGCTGGTCCTCAGATCCGGGCAAGATCACGTCTTCGGGGGCGTTCTCGTCCACAAACTTCCTTTCACTGACGTGCTGTTGTTCGCCTTCCTCGCCGGCTACCCAGACCTTATCCTGGAATGTACCGCGTTGACCCTCCTCGTGAGAGAAAGGGCAGAATCGATTGGTGCACGGGTGAAACTTGCAAGGCGTCTTGACGTGGGTGAACTTGCATCCGGGCACCTTGCACTCGCCGCCGTTTCGGCAGGGGGGCATGCTGGGGTGCTTGAACGGGCAATGAGGGTTGGTGCAGTTGGGGAAGAACTTGCAGTCCATTTCACTCTGGTGCGCCGCCTTGATTGCCGGCGATGGGTGACGGCCAACACACTTCCGGTTCTTGCAAGCCGCACCGAAGCTGCAAACGTCCTTCACGTCGATTGGGACGTTAGGCGGCGCCGCCGGAGACTGGTGAGCAAACTTGCAATCTCGGTTAGAGCAGCGAAGGTTGAATTTGCAGACTGTCTCTTCGGGATTCTGGGGCTCGCGCTTCGGTTGCATCATGTCGACATCTTCACCAGCCTGCTGACCTTGTTGCGTAGGGTCACCTTGACCGGCATCCGAACCCTGTGTGTGTTGGTGACCGCCAGCTTGGAAGCCGCCACCACGGCCGCGGAAGTTTGGCCGGCTAGTGCGCTCAAATAGCGGCCGTCCGTGACCGCGACCATGCCCATGGGGGGCATGACCGTTGGGAGCAACACCACTTTGTTGCATCATCATCTGCATCTGTTGCAACATGTGCCTTTGCTGCTCCATGATCGCCATAATGTCCGGCTGGCCAAACCCACCCATACCATTCATGGCGTTCATCGGGTTCATCGGGCCCATGCCGCCTGGCCCGGCAGGGCCGCCCATGTTCGCCAATCCTTGCGCGATGCTGGCGACACGCGTGTTTGTCGTACGTGGCTGTCTTCCAACGCCCATTCTCGGGCCTGTAGGAGGGCCTCGTGCTATCCTCTCGTTTCCAGACTGGCCGCGAACGCGATGCAGAGCTACGTTGGGGTCGTGAGTCCTGTCCATGGCACGGTTGATCTGGCCCATGATACGCTTTTCCCGTCCACCACGCATGCCGTTGCCGCTTCCGTTCCGCATAGCTTTGGGTCCAGTAGGACTTTGCAATGTTAGCAGGGTGCCAGGTCCAGAGAGGGTTGATGACGCAGTGACATACGCGTTAAGCTCATTGCCAGAGCCGTCTGTTGTGACGTCCATGTTAAAGTCGCCCATCGAGTTGTCTTGTGCCGTATCCATCGCACCCTGCTCGTCGGGTACGGGTTCAGGCGCGGAGCTGTACTGTGGAACGAGGGCATTTTGCTGTTCAAAGAGCCACTGAGCGAAGTGCAATGCGGTTGGGTCGTCAGGTCCCAAACTAAGAAGGTCGCCAGAAATCTCGGCGGCGACTTCCTCTTGTGTTTTGCCGTTGGCCAGCATGAGCACGAGGTACTCAGCCATAGGGGCGGCTTCGGTGGTGTTACCCGCCCAGCCTACCTCTACGATCTTCTCCTGGATGGCATTGTTGAGAGCATCTGCCAGAGGGGTGCCAGTGGTGAGTTCGGTGGCCATGGTTCACGATCGATGGGGTGGCGTATTTGGACCAAGGTGAACGAAAGCGCAAGGTCGGGAAGAAAAGGTCGTTTTGGGGCTTGACCGTTCTCGACGGAGAGCCAAGGACTATAGAAGGCTGACGAGTTCGTGTCGAGACGGTGGCGACGAAATCGGTCAGCGGAAGGCCGCAGGCGGTGCAGACCTCAGTCTTGCTCTGTCAGAACGCGAAGCGAGAGTTGAAAGCGACAGTCGGTCGGGGCTCGTGCAGCGGTTCTGTGCAGAGGAAGTCTGGTCGTTCTCGAAAAGGTCGTGAGTTTCCCGCTCGGATATTAAAGATACAAACGCTGTCGGGTTCGTAAGATGTAGGTAAGTTGAGAGATCGTGTAGGTTGATTTGGAGATGAAGATTTTAAGATTGGAGCTTGAAGCCTGGTTCCAAGCCGAGCAGAACTGAACGTGTTTGAGACTTGCTCTGACAACTGTGGCTGGTGTTGGACCAGTGAAGTGGCGCTTGTGGCTTGTAGGTGGCTAGGATGAGCGCAGTGGTAATACGTGATTGGTCCAACTCCTTCACTTCCATTGAAGGGACGGAACCGCTTTGTCAAGGAGAAGGAACTGGGCAACTCCAATCCGGTCCGCTTGGTTCCGTCACTTTTAACTCGCCTTTTAATCAGCAAAGTAGCAGTTGGTATCAGCCGGTCGGACGGTGTTTCCTATTCTTGAATACCGGAAAATGTCTAAACCGGCTATTGCTGTCGCATTACATATAATACCGTGACATGCCTGCCGTGTTCGGGGCCAAGGGTTGCGGCTACCAGTATTCCTGTACTAGTTCCAGCGCAAGTACTTTACCATTGACTGCTATCAACCTGTAATGCCGAAATGCTTGGTAATGTCAGTGAACAAGAGAATCCTGTTTGCTAGCATTTGCCCTGTTGCTTACTACCATTGCTCGATTCCAATTGTCTTATTTTCTGTGCGTGCTTTGGATTTCGCATATATACTCTGCGTCACGCACCCTACCAACCATTTTATGAAGTCATTGATTGTTTTCGAACAGTCAAGTTGTAATTGATTCCACCTTGCGTGCCCGTACGCAACCTTCAACGTGAGACGGGAGCACTGCACAGTCCACGTACAAGTCTACAACCGAAGTCACTTCCATTGAAGCCTTGCCGCGGGGAAGAACGTATTCAACGGGTCGGGTGCAACATGTAATGGTGCTTGCTCAGAGTCTTCTACTTCGCGGCATGGTTGCTCGAAGGACGAGGTTTGTAAAACCTTCAAGATGGGCGATGCAACTTCGAGCTCGAGCTACCTTTTGCCCCGATTTCCCTTACCATGCATCCAACTTCGCTACCGTCTACTGCTAGCCCGAGGTATATCAGACAAAGCCTCCTCAACTGCCCAACTCGCAACACCAATAGCCGTTTTGTTCGTGGTTTTCCCTCTCCCGGCGGACGTTAGAAAAGCACTCCTGAGTCGGACGTGTTACGAGCGGTTCGGGATGCCCCTTGGTTTTTCTCGGTTCGTGATGTAAACAGTTGAAGAGTTCGAGCAACAGAGCAGCAATCGATATCGACGCCTTCTAGCTCCTCTCTTACGGCTACCGCAAGCGTGTTCGTCATTCATCCAGGTTTCAGATCAGCAGGAAGAGAAGAGAGGAAAGGAAAGATGATGCATCGTGGCTCATCACGGACGAGCGTGTTACAGATCAAGTATGGCAGCTGAGTGGCGCCGAACAACAGGATCCTCCCAACTGCGGTGCAACCACCAAAGAATTATTTATAAAGCATCATTGTGCTCGTTGGACAAGACACACCTCGTTCCAGACACCTGCTCCTTGCGGCTTTGCTAATAAGTGAACAGGAAAGAGGACAGTGGCCAACCAACGACACGAGCCGGCCTCAGAGATCTGTCACTCCGAGGCAGAGTATGCCGGTATGGCAGAACACCGCCTTAAGCCTACGTTGAGGCTCGAGCTACCTACCAGAAGCAGAAGCATGGAGAAGACATCGTGAATGTGTGTGATGTGTGATAGGTACGGCCATAAAACATTGTGGTCCCCTTGCGACCTGGAACCCCCAACCCAACCGCAGTTGTGGGCTAGCATGCGCACCTCCTCATGCCTCATGGCGTTCATACGACTATATGTCGAGTGCCGCCTCGGGTCAGCATCCGCGGTCATTCGTGGTTAATTGCCCCGCCTCCGACCCAAAGATTCACTGGAAACATATCACCGCCAATCCTTTCGTTTAGCGGCCAGCCCATGCCGATCTCCAATCTCGCACTCTGCCTCGTAGGGCACTTCGTCTGCATTGCGAATTGCTTCCTGTCCAAATTTTCCTCTAGCTTACGGTGAAGCCTGAAGCCTGAAAGACTCGGCAACTTTCATCAGACTAGCTGTTGGTAAGTCGCAAGTCGCCAAGACGCCTAGACAGGCATCGAATTACGATCCTGTTGCTCCCTTCTCAAGCGCCGCAGCCAAAGGCAAAGGCTTTTGTCAGTGACCAACAAAAGAAGAGACCTACGACTCTCCCGGGGCGCAATCCATTGTAGCATGGGATCACAAGATTTCCATTTCCATTCAGCTCACAACCCAAGCCAAGAGCCCAGCTCAGGGAGAGAGCATAACGCATGGCTTACCGCCCAGCTAAAAAGCTGTGGTGTAACTTACCGTACTTGGGGTCCACCGTCCGGGCGGACCTCAACCTACCTATAATTCTCCGCATACATACCTTACCGGTAAGGTATACCGGTTACGTAGGTACCACCGTTACCACTACCACCGTTACCACTACCACCGTTACCACCACCACCATGGCCACCACTGGCACCGAGCCACCGACCACCAACCACCTCTCTCTCAAGAACGAGGAGGCGTCTTCATGAAGCTGTTCCATTTCCTCAGCTATAGGTATGTCCACTAAGTTTAAATCTTGCTCTGACGTAACGTTGCGCCAATGTCACTACGGTACTGTACAATTGCAACCGAAGCAGAAGCTGAGCTGCTTCTTGTGAAAAACAACAAGAAAACAAGAGGAGAGGAATCCACATCACATCCATCCTCCACCGATGTACCTACACGACCTGCTTCCATGACATACAACAAGAGAACGTTGGAACATCACCATCTACCCATCTCCACTACTATACTGCCCGGACTACAACTACTTGGCAGTTAAGGGAAAAGTGGGAATTTTTGCCAACCCCCTCTCATAAAAGAGGGGAAAATTTTTTCAATGAGACAGTGAAATATTATAGAACAGACTCTATATTATTTTACCACTAAACTAACTTATACTTATTTGCATTACCAAAATACACAATGATATTTACTACTATAACGCAATTATAAAATTTAGAATACTATTTAATAAGGTAGAAAATAAGCAAATTAACGAATTGCATTATTTATCTAATACAAGTGCGTCCTCTAATACCTTCTTTAATATAAGTATAAGTATAAGTGCAAGTATAAATACCTCTTGTAATGGCAGCCTTGCAGTTGTGCCTCTTGACTGCTATCGCAATTATATAAGATCATTTGAGCAACCAAATTGCCAGCTTTAGTTACTTGTATCCTTTTAGAACATAGCTTAGTGATGTAGTGATCCGCCAGCGCTGTAACATTTAACCAAAGCTAAAAGGCTACGAGTTCGAACTTTGTAGTTGGAAAAGTCCTCGGATTTTTCGGATACCCTTATATAGGTTCTCTTTAACTTTAATTGAGAGCTCTCGTTCGAGTTTGATTGGCTCCTAGAAATTGTCGCAGGCTGGCATACTGTCCTGAGAGAGTCAAGGTTTGGGGCGAACTTCTCAATATAAGGGGAAGAATGTGATGGCAGCCTTGCAGTTGTGCCTCTCGACTGTCATCACAACTATATAAGACCACTTGAGCGACCGAATTGCTAGCTTTAGTTACTTGTATCCTTTTAAAACATAGCCTAGTGATGTAATGGTCCGCTAGTGTTGTGACAGTTGGTAATTTAGTAGATTTAACATTAGTTTTGAAATTGTTACAGATAAAACTTTTCTTAATATTAGTCTTAAAAATTATATAAATCAATGGAACTTTCTCAATTGTACTAATCTTAGTAATAAGGGTAATTGATTTTTTATTAATAATATTTGTAATTTTTAATTATAACGAAATTAATTAATTACTTTTCTAATACAATTTAATTAAATTAAATATACTTTCTACTTTACTAGCTTTCTTAATACAATTACTCTTACGTAACCACCCGCTATATACCTTGATTATATTCTTATTCTATTACAATTCTAAATATCCTTTTCATTAAAATTATATTCTTTTTAATTATAGTTTTCTAATAGTTAAATTACTCATTAATAGATTTCTTATTTCATTTCTAAAACCATCGTTTATTATTGATAGTATATTAGATTAATATTTTCAGTTTTTAAAATTTTCCAAAAATTATATTAATTATTATAAATTACAAATAGTTAGAACTCCCTATAGCAAATACAATCAATTTACCGCCGCTACAACTATTTCATATAGCATAAGAAATTTATCTTGAAAATATAATATAACGTATATAACAATATATGATAGGCTAGGGTGCATATGCCCAGACGGCCAAACCTACAAAAGATAAGACAATGTTCTGCTTGCAAGGCAGAACTCGGAATGCACACTATATAGCCAATGTCAACCTATGACACAATAGTATCTTCTTTAGCGCTAATTAATAAACATAGCCTCCCCGCTGAGCACTCTAATATAATAAGTTTCTTAAATTCACACAAGGACTTTGTTTGCTGCAATGTTACAGGTTGACATTAGCCATATAGTGTGTATTCCGAGTTCTGCCTTGTAAGCAGAACATCATCCTATCTTTTGTAGGTTTGACCGTCTAGGCATATGCACCCTAGCCTGTCATAGTATGTTCTGCTTAAACGGTGGGTTCGATTCCCGACTGTGGCAATTTCAAAGGCGATTTTGGGATACTCTTGTTGACACTTAGTCGAGCGCAGCTCTTAAGAATGCAATGACAATTGAGGACCGTGTATGCAAATCGAAGAGTACTGAAATGCCACGTATCGGCTCATTGGAAAATGTCCAACTTAGCGGGAAGTTGCATTTTCAGGTAGTGCTATATAAGCCGTCGCATTGCAATAAATCCTCCACGACATTGTCGCCCTCGGAAATGAGGCCGGGCCGGGACCTTATCTTAAAGATTATCAAAAGATAACTTCGCTTTAAGGGGAGGTAATTTCACAGGTTGACATTGGCTATATAATGTGCATTTCGAGTTCTGCTTTGCAAGCAGAATATCGTCCTATCTTTTATAGGTTTGGCCGTCTGGGCATATGCACGCTAGCTTGTCATATGCAATGCCCTAACTGGCCTATAATAATAGCACCAGTATAGAGATGCTACAGTGAATTATGTACCTGTAGCAGAGCGGAGCGGAAGCGGTAGAAAGTACGATAGCAGTGCTGAAGGAAGCAGCGCAGTAGCAAGGACAATAGAGGGATGTTGTAAAAGAGGTCTTAGAGAAGACTCTGCACTATGAGAAACAACTATTATAGTGAACTCTGCACTATAGGAGTAAACTATATTGTATTGCTTGGATTGTGCTTGCTTGCTTAAGAAGTGACTAACTAAAGAAGAGAAGAGGTCTTTATATACACGAATGTTAAGTATCTAAAAGCTTTCAAAGTGTAGGAGCTTTTGTAAGTTGATAGGAGTGCTTGTAGGATCACTATACTATGAAAGGAATAAACTGAATCTATGAGCTTCTGGTGCATTCCATAATGACAAATTAGTCTAGAAGTAATGCTGAACAAGTTAGAGAATCCCAGAATACAATAGCAAAACCTCTATATTCTAGCACGTTCTATGAAGGCAGAATGGACTAATTTCGTAAAATAAATATTTCAATCAACCTTCTATACTACAAGATAGTATAAGGCAGTTACAAAGCACAGTACTAGCCAGACGTTAACAGACTTTATATAATAATTAATTTACATACGAAAATTTCTTGTAATAATAGTGATATTTCTAATGATTAATAAGTTCGTACTTCTATCGCGAGGAGTTATATAATAATTATAAGTAACGAAATATATATAGGTACTTCTATACCTAACAAGCATCTTTTCTAGCTCTAGCTCTTTGAAATATTTATCCAAATCAATAGATATTATATAGTGAATTAGTAATCTATTTAATAGTTTATAAATATATAAACTACTCATTCTTCTCCATAAATTTACAGTAGAAAGCAGTATATTATATTGCGTTGTATTACAATAAAAAGTTCGAAATCATAATAAAAATCAGTAATTTTGCGTAGCGTTAATAGACGATTTAGTATACGATCGATCGGCATGGTTTTATAATATTTCGCTATTCTATTAAGAAATTTCCTCCTTTTTTATAAGAGGAGGTTGGCAAAAAGTCACACTTTTCCCTTGACCGCCAAGTAAAGCATCGTGTCTCTCACACACACACACACATACACTCACAGCACAAGGAAAATCAGAAACAACAAGCAATAAACAACAAAAAAGAGACAAGAGACAAACTGACAAAGAAAGTTCAGATCTCACGAGTCAGCTGAACGTCGCAGATTGTTCTTGACCCTTTCATCATCCCAAGTTCTTCCGCTCCTCCAACTTGAAAAAAAAAAAAATTAGAAAGTGTTTCAGTTTCAGAAATAACGGAAGCAAACGACGGGCTGGGCCGCTGGAAGGGGATAGGTACATCGTAAGTACCGTACGGAGGGTTACATCCCTTCCCATCTCCAGCTTATGGTGGCTTTTTTGCTTGGTGGTGGTCCGATACGATACGATTGATATCATCCCATCGCCACAAACCTTTTTTCTTACGCAGCGGCTTCGCCTTTGTCCATTGTATGGTCTTTCTTTTTTGTCTGTTTTTTTACTTGACATGCTTGACCTGACGAGTACAAGTACCTGACCTGAAAGGCGGGTGTGATGATGTGAATGGTGATCCACCTACCGAGCGAGTCTCCGAGTCTAGTCTTTTCATCCAACCTACTCTACCTCCCAACCTAATCCATTTGGCGCTCGCTCGTTCGTTGCATCGCATCTTTCTCGCATGTCTTCTTTTTAGTGTGTACCATGTTGGTTACTAGACTAGTTACTTACAATACCTGCCAACCATTCAGTCCCGTCTCGAATTTCGCCAACGAACCAACAGTAACAACAACAGCGAAGCGCAAGGCAGTTAGGTTTATGTAACACATCTCAACTGCATGTTAGAGGGTCGGGCGCATGCAGGTGGTACCTCGACAGAGACAAGACAGAAACAAGACAAGGCAAGACAGCAGCATGATGAGATGGTCGGATGGATGGCCATCCATGATCCATCCCGTCTTTTTACCTTACCTACCTGCTGTGTTGCAACACAACAACAAGGGGCGCGGGCTTCCGGGGTATCATTACATCCATTCAAGCCCATTCATGACCCCTGTTTGATTGGTCACCAGCCCTTCTGTTGTTTGAAAGGCTCAACCGCTTTTCGGATGATCATCTCTCTCATCCAATATATAAAAACCAAGCCACTCCTTCTTCGCCTTTCACTCTGTTTACCAAGTTTTGGCCCCCTTGTATAACGTTCTTACAAAGGGAGCCTTTCTTTCCTATTCTCGGGGTCTCGTCCTCCACTACACTAACCTCGTACCTCCGGTTCAGGTCGTTCATGCCCGACTTCTGCGGCATCCCACACATCTTCAGATAAACAAGATCGACATATTCAGAGAGCGTTCACGTCACCCTGAATTGATCATCAAGAGATGGTCTTCACGCCATCACTGAGGCTGCTTGCAGTCTCACTCGTTGCCCTCCTCCAGCCGGTATCCGCGATATGGCCAGCACCACAAACCTTCACCAAGGGGAACTCGAGTCTGTACCTGCACCAGAACATCAAAATAACCTATAATGGAGAACCTGTAAGGCTCTCAACTTCCTCTTCTTCTTTCTCCTCCCCATATTCACCCAACAACGTTTGGTCCGGGCTATGAGGGCTTGTTTACTAAGACACCAGCGCAACAACAGCTCGCCTACACAGCAGACTATCCCGCCTCGGCCCTGAGCAGCAAGGAGATCGTCACGGCTGGTGTCTCACGCGCACTGGGCTCCATCTTCTCCCAAAACTTCGTGCCCTGGATGCTTCAGCCCCGCGGGCAGCTGTCCAAGTTCGAGCCCGACGTGTACAAGGGCCAGAAGTGGATCAAGTCTCTCGAGATCGTTCAGAACACCAAGGATGCCAACAACATCGTCAAGCCTGCGCTGGCCGGCGAGGTCAGCGAAGAGTATAGCCTCACGCTCAGTGCCGAGGGCGACGTCAAGTTGACGGCCGACTCTTACATCGGCGTCCTGCACGGCCTCGAGAGCTTCACGCAGCTCTTCTTCCAGCATTCGACCGGCACCTCGTGGTACACACCGTGGGCACCGGTCGAGATCAAGGACAAGCCCAAGTACCCGCACCGCGGCATCTTGCTCGACGTTGCGCGCACATTCATGCCCGTCAAGAACATCCTGGGGACCATTGATGGCATGGCCGCCAGCAAGCTCAACCGGCTGCACGTGCACGTCACCGATTCGCAATCGTGGCCACTCCAGATCATCTCCATGCCCGAGGTAGCTGAGAAGGGCGCCTATCACCCAAGCCAGACGTACTCGCCCGCCGACATCGACAACATCCAGAAGTATGGCGCCCTCCGCGGCGTGCAGGTCTACTTCGAGATTGACATGCCGGGCCACATCGGGTCCGTGTCGCTCTCGCACCCGGATATCATCGTCGCATATGATCAGTGGCCGTATCAGTGGTATTGCGCTGAGCCTCCTTGTGGCGCCTTCAAGCTCAACGACACCAAGGTCGACGACTTCCTCGGAAAGCTGTGGGATGACCTGCTGCCCCGCGTTACGCCGTATTCGGCCTATTTCCACACTGGCGGAGACGAGCTGAACAGGAATGACTCGATGCTGGACGAAGGCATCAAGTCCAACGACACCGAGGTTTTGCGCCCGCTGCTTCAGAAGTTCATCGAAAAGCAGCACAATCGCGTCCGGAAGCAGGGCCTGACTCCCCTGACTTGGGAGGAGATTCCACTTGAGTGGAATGTCAATGTTGGCAAGGATGTCGTAGTGCAGACGTGGCTTGGACCAGATTCAGTCAAGAACTTGACCAGCAAAGGTCATAAGGTTATTGACAGCAACTACAACTTCTGGGTAAGTTGATTCGCACCCTGGTGTCTGGAGCCTAATAGGCAACTTTGAAAACATGAGGACACGAGAAAGCAAAGAGAAAAGCTAACCTTTCCAAATACAGTACCTCGACTGCGGCCGCGGACAATGGCTCAACTTCGACAATGCCGGTTACGCCGCCTTCTCGCCCTTCCTCGACTGGTGCAACCCCAACAAGGGCTGGCGTCACGTCTACTCGCATGACCCGGCCGCCAACCTAACCCCGGAAGAGGCCAAACTCGTTCTCGGTGGCGAGGTGGCCGTGTGGGCCGAGTCCATTGACCCAATCACTCTTGACACCATCATCTGGCCGCGGGCTAGCGTTGCTGGCGAGGTTCTCTGGTCCGGACGTATCGACCCGGCCACGGGCCAGAACCGGACGCAGCTGGATGCGGCGCCGAGACTGTCGGAGCTCAGGGAGCGCTTGGTCGCTAGGGGCGTGCAGTCGTCCTCCGTGTACATGACATGGTGCACGCAGGATCCGACGGGTAAGTCGTGTGAGTACCCGTTGGTGTGAGAACGTAACGGAGGCCGCGTGGTGGCCTGGACGGTTGCCGTTGCTGGACAAGGAAGAATTTGATCAAACCGAATCGGAAGTGATAGGCGTTCTTCGGTTTCACAGCGCAGTAAGGGATGAGGCGGGCCTTGCGTTTGCTTATGTTTTCTTTTCTTCTAGCTGTGAACATAGCTTAGTCGTGGTCAATGTCAAAATGTTTCGAAACCGCCACACATATTATGCCTTTTCTGTAACACTCGTCCACCACTGCAGGCTCTGCTCTAGTTTAACCACTAGGTGTTCCTGGCGCAAATTCAGAGGGCTGTGTGCCTAGCTGTACCTGAGGGGTATAAAAGTGCGTACCAAACTTAGGGATTGGCCATTTCTGCTAGTCTCGGACCGGTGTAACGTTTCGAGGGATGTCGTCCACATGAAGGGTGAGGAGGCCATAGTCGGGCTGGTTCCGTGATGTGAGGGCTGTTTGTTAAGATCGAATGGCAGATAAACATAGGTACAATGATGGGTGCCTCGAGGTTGTTTAATGCCATCCAGGGCTGCCTTTCTCGCTAATTGAACTTCTTGTGGTTTTGTTACCGGGGTCGGAATGATCCCGAAAGACTAACCTGCGTGACCAAAACAAGGATAGTATGGTTGACAAAAGAGTCGAGGTTTGCAGCGCCCAGCCGCAAAGAAGCGATCATCTGAAGTTCTGGATCTACCATAGAGGTTTGCGGGGTGTAGTAGTTGAGTAGCCATCCACTTGTGATAGTGGTTTCTGGATTCTTGTCCGCCGGTACATTCTGTAATGTGCCGTAGATGTTGGATTGGTGGTGTCACGGGGATGAAAGATAGGTAAAAGACTCAAGCCCCACGGGGGACCTGGAGGCACACTCAGTAGAGCAATCACTGCAATGAGCCATCTCGGCCGAGAAGGTTTGTTGAAGGAGTACCAAATATTGAAGGAGCTATCGACATGACGGAAATGACCAAGTAGAAGTTCCTTGCACTTTCCCGACGACTTTTGTTGTACTTTCAGAGTGCAGTCAACGGTCCTTGTGAGTTGTGACAAAGAATGCAGGATCGATGAAGCAGCAAACAGATCATAAATCATAAGACCGAATATGTACAAGTGTGGGGTAAGTGGGTCAAGAGTGCAAGTGTCCACTTGAGGTTCGGTCGCGCGCCAATCTGCTTCCGCTGTGGGGAAAGCAGATCACGTTTTGCGGAGCGTCCAGGGCTTCCTGTGGGGAAATGAGGGCCGTACCTGACAGTTTGGCACTGGCCTTTCGACCTTGCAGAGTTCTGCTTCGAACCAACCTGTGAACTAAAACCTCCGATATTCGTTTCTCGTTGGCGAAGCACTCATTCCCAGATTGATGGGACGCCATATACCTCGTAGAAGAAAGACAAAAGCGCCACAGAGACGGGTTCTGGTACGTGCCGAACATTCAGATGTGCGATGTTGTGCAGACCGGTATCTGCGGTAGCACCAGACTCGTACTACCTACCGAGCATTTGCTTCATAGTGCAAAAGGCTAGTTGTAGGGTTTTTTGGCCTTTGAAGATCCAATATGCTTACCTCAGAAGGTTGATGATGCTGGGGGCCGCTGCCGTTATCATGGGGCTGCCACCTCCATGCTTCTTGGCGGTGGAACTCACATCACGTTAGTTGACGTCGTGCAACGGTCCGACGGATAGAAACACACGCCGAACGTATAACTGCGAATCGGTGTTTGATACCGGCAGGAATGGTGTTGAACCGGCTCCAGATGGATGACAGCAATGGCAGACAGCCCCGCGGAGCCCGCAACGCAGCCGCCATCATTCGACCCCAGATCTACAACGTCTGTGTGCGACAGGAAACAACACTAAAGAGAAAGCGCCTCGTCCTCGATGCTACGCAGTCATGGACGGAACGTACCTTCCTCCGCCGTCCAGTCGTTGCACATCTCGCTTGTACGCGAACTGGAAAGTGCGGATTGACCATTGCGCCGCTTCCTGTTCAGTCCGTCCGGCCTGATCACTTCCCCTCTTTCAGATCTTTCTCGGCGATAAGAGAGCCTCGGCACTGCCTCCGTTCCTAGTCAAATTCAAAGAAACCGAAGACGCAATTGGACAGGAATGCGAATCACAGGCCACGGATGTCCATCATTTGGACCGTGCGGCTTGGCCTACTGATGAACCTCCATTCTTTTCTTGCTCGACAGCTCCCAACTCCCACCACAATGAGCATCACCATTCTCCCAGGTCCCCAAGGTCCAAGCCTTCGTTCCTCCAATGGCTTTCTTTGTGCCATGCTGCGGGGCTCATGACGTCCAACCTGTATCGCCGATGGGGGTCCGCTTGTCAAGGTGTGCAATATCCTGTTGATGACCAACATCATGGCCATGAGGAGATGCTACCACGGTGAGGGATGGGGACTTCGGGATCATTCCGTCGGAATGGTTCCAGTACAGTACGCTCTCGTCCAGAATGCGCAAAAAATTGTCTCAGGCTCAACGGGAACATCACATTGGCGTGTTTGGATAATATCCGAACCTGGGGTTACTGGGCAGACATGCCCCATGTTTCCAAGACCTGCCTCCCCTCGTGTCTCTTATTCACCATTGTTACCCCGTCTCCGTTCAACCCCGGCCTGCCACCTTTGTGTCTAGTGTCTGGCTAGGGTGGTATGCTTCCGCTTGGCTGCAGAGCAGGTATCCCCAACTACGACAGATATCTGTTACGTTAAAAAGAATTTGATGCCCCTCCTCTTTTTTTTGTCCTCACCTCTCTATATAGTTCCCGCCTTACTCTCCAAATATCATCAGGGAGATCAGTGGTCTCGTCCTGTTTTACTCACCTTTTATTCTGTACTCTCCGCCTTCCTACGATACCTTGGACTTCACTCCATCCAAGCCGTGATCAGGTCTTCCCAGAACCTCGAACCCTTTTGTTGTTCCACGTGGCGGAGGGAGGCTTCTGAGCCTACTCTATTCACGATGGGCTTAGTCGAAGACCTTGCGGAGAATCTCTCCCTAAGGAATATCCCAATCATTCTTGGAGGGCTGCTTGTAGGCTTGGTTGTCCTCAGACACTTGCAGGTAGCATGGCAAAACATCAGAATCAACAGAATGGGCTTGCGGCCTCCCCAGATTCAAGACACCGGATTATATGGTAGGTGTTCTTCCTACCACGCTCCAGGGCACTAAGATAGTCCTAACCATCCCGAAGGCACCAAGTTTATCAGGACCACCATCAAGATGGCGGCTGAGCACGCAAACCTCCAGTTTTGGCAAGATATGTTCAGACGCATCGGTGGATACACTGGCGAGGTCAGGGTCGTTGGTCGTCGAATTGTCTTTACCTCGGAGCCAGAAAACATCAAGGCCATTCTAGCCACACAGTTTGGAGACTACGGCAAGGGTGAAGGCTTTCATCGGGAGTGGAAGGATTTCTTGGGTGACAGCATCTTCACGACCGACGGCGATGTCTGGCACGCCAGCCGTCAACTGATCCGTCCCCAGTTCATCAAGGACCGTGTCAGTGACTTGGAATGTTTCGAGAATCATATGCAAATGCTCTTCCGAACCATTGCCAATGGAGGAGCCCTAAATGGCGAGAATCAGTTGGTCGATATGGAAGCCGGAAATGGGAAGCCCGTCGATATCAGCGACCTCTTCTTCCGATATACTCTGGACGCCGCCACCGATTTCCTTCTTGGCAAGGATATCAAGTCGTTGAGGTTTGTCCCACCCGATGCCTCTCTCATTTTATGTTAGGCTGCTGACAGAAAGTAGCACCCCTGTACAACCTTTTGCCGATGCGTTCCAGGAGGTACAACGAGTACAGAGCGTCATTGCCAGGGCCGGACCCCTCAACAGTCTCGTGCCGAGAAAGACATTCTGGGAAGGATTGAAAATCATTGACGAAACCATCAACTTCTACATCGAGCGCGCCCTTCGACTTGACGAGGGGGAGCTTGCGAGCAAGTCCAAGGGGGACGAGGGCTACACTTTCCTTCATGCCCTTGCTGGTTTCACCAAAAACCGCCAAGTGTTGCACGACCAGCTAATGGCCGTTCTCCTTGCCGGACGTGACACAACCGCTTGCACTCTCTCATGGACCATTTACGAGCTCGCCCGCCATCCCGAAGCTGTGGCGAAGCTACGTGCCGAGATTCTCTCCGTTGTCGGACCTGACCGTGCTCCCACATATGACGATCTCAAGAGCATGAAGTACCTCCAGAATGTCATGAACGAGACTTTGCGCCTATACCCCGTAGTGCCTTTCAAGTAAGATCGCCCAAATCCCCCCTTACCCAAATGTCAGGTTACTAACCCTGTTTTCCCGCAAAGTGTACGCATGGCGCTTAAGGACACGACTCTTCCCCGTGGTGGCGGTCCCGATGGCTCTCAGCCAATTGCTATTCTCAAGGATACACCCATCGGTTATAGCACTCTTGCCATGCAACGCCGAGCCGATCTGTACCCTCCGGTCAGCGAGAAATTCCCAGATGTCGAGACCTTCTCTCCCGATCGCTGGTTCCACTGGCAGCCGAAGCCGTGGCAGTATATTCCCTTTAACGGAGGCCCGCGTATCTGCATCGGCCAGCAATTCGCTCTTACCGAGATGGGATATGTGCTCACGCGACTCTTCCAGCGATATGACCGGGTGGTGAGCTACATGGATGAGATTGATGGAGGCAAGCCGAAAATGAAGGCTGATATTGTTTTGGTGCCCGGTGATGGAGTCAAGGTCGCGTTCTTCGAGGCGAAGCGGGATTGATTTGAATCAGTAGCATTGTATTGAAGTTTGCTTAAAGAAGAATAATGTATTCAAGGCGGCTGAGCAGTTCACCTCTCTGCTCATATAATTCCGTTGTTTCCAATCAATGTACCACTTTTGCCACTCTAATACATTTTGCTAGCAACTCCTGTAAGTTCGCTGTACATCAATGTTGTGCCCGTATCCAAAAAGAACGCAAATCATGTTCCCTCAGTGGCCAGTCCAGGCCCCGATCATAACTTGAAACTTTCTCTAACGGCATCTCCAAACCTCCTAATCGCTTCCGTCATGTTTTCAGCCGTTGCGGCCGCAAACGTCGCACGGAAGAAAAGCTCGTTTGGCTCCGTGTCTTGTTCAGCACGGAACCAAGATCCTCGAGCGACCAAAACGCCCTTTGCTATGCAAGAGTTGAAGATCTCCTCTTCAACTTCCAAAATGGGTTTTCCAGCCTGGATACCAGGGTGCTGGGTGTGGTCTACCTTGAGCCAGTACTAGGAAACACGAAGTTAGTATCTTCCAAGGTGCTATCGGGGTTCAGGGAGTGACTTACAAACATGCCAGAAACAGGTACACTCCAGCTCACCACCTCTTTGGGCAAGAACTTCTCAACCGCCGCCACCATGGTATCCCTGCGCTTGGTATACTCGCCCCTCAAGTTCATCAACCACTTAAAGTAGCCCTCGTGTCCCCACTGCTCATCCAGCAGCTTGTACAGAATAACCTGTGAGATGCCGCTGGGACCCTGGTTGCACACCTCGGCGTGCCGGATGAACCGCTCGATGATGTCCTCCGAGGCCGTCACCCATCCAACGCGCGAACCGGGCACGACCACCTTGGAAAAGGAATCCATGCGCAGGACGCGGCCGTCGACGTCCATGGACAGGAGGGAGGGGATGAGGGAGGCGATGAAGGATTCCACCGTTTCCTCCTCCTTCGCAGACCCCGTCGTCATCTCCAACGGCATCTGGATATAGTAATACGGCTCATCCTCAATCACAAACACATCATGTTTCCTCGCCACCTCGTACAGCGCCCGCCTCCTCTCCAGCCCCTGCGTGGCGCCCGTGGGATTCTGTCCGCTGGGCACCGTGTACAACAAACACCGGCTTCCTCCGCCCCTCCCCTCTCCTCGGGCTTCCAGTTCGTCAACAGCTCATCCATGGCTTCCGGCAAAAGTCCTTGCTCGTCCATCTTGATACCCACCACTTTGATCCCCAGCGGGCCCGCGGTCTCCAGCGCCGTCGCGAAGGAATACTCCTCCGTCAACATGCAGTCTTTGCGCTCGGGCCCGTCGCAAAGCATGCGCAGCGTCTGCTCCAGGGCTCCCGTGCTGCCGACCGTCAAGCAGGACCGCCAGTCGCTGTACGGCGGGTTATGCACCAGTTCCGTGTGTTCGGTGACAAACCGCGACAGTTGAGCGGAACCGGTGGCTTGGGCATAGTTGAGCGCGATGGACAGGTCGTAGGTTCCCTGGATGGTTGGGTCGGTGACGTCGTACTTGCCGATGCGGACTTCGGCGCCCGAGGAGGCGGTGGCGGCTTCGGAGAAGTGAGGGGGGTTGGGCACCTTGAGGGTGATGGAGTCGATGGGGAAATACTCGGCGCAAGGCAAGCCGCCGCCGAGAGAAATGAGGCCGGGGGTTTTGAGGTGGCGAGCGGCTTGTTTGAGGGAGCAGGGGTGGCGGGAGAGGGATTCCGGGGAGAGGTGGTCTGCGTGGCGTGTTAGTTTTTGTGGTTTTTTTGTGAAAGAGAACTGAAGTGAAAGAGGGAACCTTACGCTCCATAGACTTGGATTTAGGTTTTCCTACTTGCTATATAGTGGTTGAAATAAGTCAGTTCACTTGGTCAGTCCGTAGAGGGGAGGGCACGTGTAAGTGATAACCTCAAGATTTGAAGGGTTGAGGGTTAGGGTTCATTGAGCCAAAGATAAACATACCGGACCCTTAAACATGTCGCTATCGGAGTATGAAGCGGTCGGCGCAATGAGCCTGCCAGCTTTGGCACGTCTTTCCAGAATGTCACTGATGGTGACTGCATTCTGTCGGCCACCCAGGCCCGATGCAGGTGGGATTTCAGAAGGGTTGGCGTCCTTTAGCTTGGCAGCGGGACCATGCGTCCCCAATGCACTGGCACCATCGGAGCTGGGCTTGTTCTCATGGCCCCGGAGGGCGACGTCAGAGCCGTTGATCATTATGGCCGGGTGTGGTGCTGATGGGTTCGGGGAACCGGTGGGTTGAACTCCGCAATATCGGCCGGGGGGTCCGGGTGCTTGCTCCGCAAATATAAAAGTGATTGATCCTGGTTAGGGATTCCAATTCGAAAACCGAGGATGTCGGTATTTGAACGCTCTCTTGAAGAAAAGGTATGACTGTAATAGATGGAGTCATAGAAAAATGACTCGAATTGTGAAGTGGATTGAATGCAGATATTGGAAGGGATGTTGATGTTGATAAGCGAGGGTATCTTGTACTAAGAGCCAGCATCAATGACAACAAGCGCCCCTGATAGCAATGAGCCGATAGCGGGGGAGAATGACATCTCATCCGCTGTTAGCCGCTGTTACCCAAAGGCAAACAGGGGCTTGAAGTGTCTTTGAGGGGCTCTGAGGGGCCAAGAAGGGGTCTTTGAAGCTATGATCCCGGCACAAAAGCAAAGAATGTCGACATCAAGTGACCTTGAAGCGTTCAAGTTGAGGAATGAACTTCAGTGGCTGTACGTAACAGAAAATCGGCTCGGCTCTGCGTTGCAAATGCGGTATGGCCAACTCGTTAATAGGTACACGTGTATGTACATTGCCGCTACCACTCATTACAGCCTAGACACAACCGTCATACATAGACTAATCTCAAGTGCAGCTCGAGTCTGTTGATAACCGTGCGTTCCACCCGTTCCTTATCACCAACACCGATACCCGATTTCTCATTATGACCACCAACGCTGATGTTGACCTATTCGGTATGTCTTTATCTTCCGACTCCTGTATGAAATGCCACAACAGAGAGATCCTCCCTTTCTATGCGTGCAGCCATATGCTTTTTTTGAGAGCCATTGCGACAACACCAGCCCACCGCACCTCCAGCCGGATATCTCGTTACGAACCTCGACATGCTGATATGCGATTGACGATAGCTGCTTCGACCAGGAAAAGGACTCGCTGACAGAATATGACCTGGAGTTGACAAATGGCAAGCCGAGTGGTGGAATCGTTGAGGCAAAATCCGGGTTTAAAGGTGATGTTAAAGAGGATTTCCGTGCCGGCTCAGTATGTAAAGGCAATCCTTCTTCCATCCTGTAAGGCCATCCGGAGGAAGCGATCCAGTGCTTGGGTATCCTTATGGTTGACAAAACAAAATAAAAAATACGAGAATGAGAAGAACACGGAAGCTTCAATCCTGGAAGTGATGGCAGATATATGATATCTCCCTGGAGCTCGGCTAGGAGTTCCATAAAACGTAATGCCTCTTTTGGCCAAGCAAGCAATTGCTCTGAGCCATCCATAATGGACATGCACATTCAGTTGGTGTTGGATAACCTTGGTGATGAATTCGAACAGAAGTATCAATTTCCATGTATTTCAACGTGACTGAATACTTAGTCCGGGTACCTTGAATCTCTGGCTTCTGTGGAAGAATAACATGTTATGGAATGTCCAGCAACGAATGGTGAGGGTCACCAAGGTTGCGTTCAAAGACCCCGTCATCCTGGCGTCCCCCGACATGGGCGGCTCCTTGGGAAGGGTTCAGATAGAAATCAGAAACAAAATGGCTCCGGGTTGGCAGATCCCACTCCGATTGGCATCGTCCAGAAACATCCGAAAGGCAGATATCCGAACTCACTGTGTGCGTGCTGCAGGTATAGTCAAACGACGGCCCATGCCTTTCGAAGAACTCCGGTTCCTGACGGTAAGATTCCGAAGGGGGCCTGTTGTCTGATGGACCAGGGCTAGACCGGAAGGATATATTGCTTTGGAGGTCCGAAAAGGTGGGTGGGAGTCTTATGTCTGGTGGTACCGGGACAGGAGTCTTGAACCGCTTGCAGATCTTGTCCATGGCCACGGTAGTGATGCTAGTAAAGGCAAATCCCAGGGGTAGCCAAGGGACAAGGCTGTTGCTTGAGGATTGATCAGACAGAACAGCTTGCAGCAACACAAACAATGCTATCGGGGCGGTACATGGGCCAATTCTTCGGAGCATTAGTCAAAACGAAAACAATCATTTGAAAGGGGTTGTGCCTACTTCACAAGCGAGTGAACATTGATGGCGAGATAGACCGCCGCCGATACGATAAATAGGCCGAGAGTGCTGTGAAGCTGTTAGTACACGGCATATGTAAGGAAAACTACGTACAGGGCTTCTTACAGGTCAATGAAGGAAAAGTTCCCATCGTTGGCGATTGGGAACAAGACCGCGGTGCCGACCATGATCCCGCAAGAAATAATTTTTGCGGTTTGAAGAAAGCTGTGGACCAAAGGATGATGAGGACGGAAGAACGACATAAAGTCCGCATCACCCAAGTTGGGATCCATATTGGGCAAAGTGTTAGGCTCTCAAGTCCCTGGGCGGCTCATAACCAATCTTATCCAGTACCCAAGACTATTTTCCGGCTGAATAGATGTAAGGTGTGTAGGGTTGGGAGTTGTTGTTCGAAACGCGACGGAGTCAACTGTCGGAGCAGGATAGTGGCGGAGGATTTATAGAAGAAATCCCGGTCCATCGCTTGACCTGTTGTTACAAGACATCCGGAGTGATAACGAGGGGCTATGGGGTTGATTTGAGAGCTTGATCTTGCTCCCGGAAACCCAAGGCAGTCAGTCGTCTGCCACAGTCACCGTTGGGCGGCGCAATGCTGCCACATGTTGGAGGCCAGCGAGATGATTCCGAGAGGCTAGTAAACCAATCATGGTATCCTTTGTAACTCGTCCTGGTTGCCTCCGTTGTTGATTTCTCGTTATTACCTTGTTTCATAGCCTGACGCAGGTTTTCCGCCATGGTTCGCAGGTTGCCTTGCGTAGGAGTCGTATAAGTTCTGTCTCCGGATTGGCCCAGTTTTCGGTGAAAGCTGTCAGCCTCACTGCCAGCCTATTCCGCTGAGGGGCAACCTGATACACAACCGGTGTGCCTTGGGTCTTCATGCATGAGGGTGAGACAATGGCTATCGCTTGGAGTAAGGCTGCGTCTTTGACCGAAAAAGTGAGCAAATTGTTGACCGAACAAGCAGGGCAGGTTGGGTGCTCAAGTCATATGCAACCGCCCGGGCATCCGGTAATCACATCTGCTGGTTTAGGCAAGCTGAAAACCTGATAAGAGGGATAGGGCAAATTTTCTGAATATTTAGTCGATGGGAGTGCCATGATAATGGTACATGAATGTTTGAATCGGTGGCGGCATTTGTATTTACCTCCATGCCATTGCCACTCGTCAGCTTCCTCGCAACCACTCATTAGCCGAAGCTCTGATCCATCCAATGAATTGTCGAACATGCCCCCTTCGACACCGGGCCGGGAAGGTACCCGAACAAGCTTCAGCATGGAGCTGGAGATCCGATATTGTCGAGATATTTCTCACGACTCTGTGTAGCGCCGTGATCTGGCGGTACACTTCCCACAATGACCATGAGTCTGGCCACAAAGGGGTAAGTAACCCTCTGTTGTCGAGCGCATCAATCCTATTGTTGACATACTGCTTGTAGAACCGCATAGACAGCCCAGGGGGAAGAAATGGGCAAGGCGTCATCGTATCTCCGTCAGACGGGTTGATGCTTTGGTCATGTCTGGTGTACGGCTGCTGTGTCTCGTCATTCATTCATCGCCGGCAGGAGCAGGATCCCTTCCAGTTGTTCGTCTATCTGATTTTCGTCACCGGCGCTGGAGTCATCGGATATGCCGCCAGAGCGAGTGCAAATCTGATGCTGCTGGGATATCTTCCGCAGTCGATGTGCATCGCAATGGCGGTCAGCCTTTTGGGCCACGGTCTTTACAGAAGATGGAAGTGTGTTGCATCAAGTCCAGGAGACGAGGAGAAACTCCAACCCATACGTTGAACTGCATGGCATATGCATGGCGATAGTCAATTTCAAGTCCGCTCTGCTATTCCAGGTTTTCGTGCAGGCCGCGATAGTCATTTTGGACGCATTTCGGCGCTGGTCGGACGAGCAGGCAAAGCGGCTTCAACAGCTACTACACCTTTGGTCAGCAACAAAAGAAGAGTACATCTTGGTTACTTCAACTTGTCCTTTTCTGGAAAACAACGGTGTCAGCAACGTATTTCAGACATGGACGAGAGATCGTATAGGCAGATAATCAAGAAGAGGCCATGTATTTACCATTCATGTTGATAAAAGATGGCGCGGCGAAGACGAGGAACCAAGTCCTCGAAAGGCGCCTTGGCTGGATTTCAAAGGCTGGAGCGAGGAACTCATGAATGAGATTGAAGTATCTGGGATTGGAAGAGAGAAGGACAGAGATGTGTGAGGAAGGGGAATAGATTACGGAATACGGAAAGAATTCAACATTGTATCGTCATAGAACTGCGGAAGGTAACTGAAGACCATGCTTTGGTCAATTCGGTCGTTGATCTGGAAGGAACCATCTCACCGATGTATCATGTGCTGTTGGTATGTTGGTATGTAGGAAGTGCAACGGAAGTGCTGCTGCCACCTGGCGACAGACATCTGATATTTCCTGATCATGTAGGCGCAGTACGTGCCTGAATGGTTGACGGGCATTATTCAGGGGAAATGCAACCAGTGCTTTCAACAAACAATAATTCACCCCTTTTTTTTGTTTTTCTCCATCACAACAAAAATCAACAATGCGGTGTCGAGGCAACGTGAAACCCCGAAGTGGAACACAACGGCAGTGACCCGCCGTCCCCGCCCAACGGAAGACCAGACAACGGAAAAGTGGAGCACTAACGGAGAAGCGGCGCCGAGGATTCTGAGCCACAATGGACCCGGAACCACCGAAACCTTTTCACGATTTGGCGGGCCGATGGGCGTTGGCGTCGCGCCAAGAAAACCCACTCCCAACCACCCGATTCACGGGTCAGTGATGGTTCATGGCAGCGGCGGCAGTGTGCTGAAGACCTCTCCAATCTCGATGCAACAAAACAAACAACAGCGTTTGTCCGTGCCTCCCAAGGGAACACTCCTCTCCAACCACCCGTCTTTTGAAGAACCAAAAAATAGTTTCAAAATTCTAACACTCGCAAAGGACCCAAGGAAACATTTCTACATTGTTTCATGAAGCACAGTTGGCTAAAAGGAAACAGGACGAAAGTTTTTCAATGGCCAAAATGGTGTCCGATGGGGCTCCCAGTTCATGGTCCCAGTTGTCCCTCGAAAAAACAGGCTCCTTGGCTCCAAGCCTAGGCGGCCCAGAAAGAGCTGACGGTGGGGAGCCTACGATGACGATTCTGGCAGGTTGGTGACTTGTGAGAGGCTGGGACAAGCTGGGACAAGACCTGGACCGCCAACCGCTTCGTTCAGCCAGTCCGACCAGGACCTTTTCTCACAAGGATCGATGTGATCCGAGAGTGTGATTCTAGGATTCTGAATTCCCGGACCCTCTTTTCCTTTTTCCACGCGCGTTTACGCATTCGCTGCATTCGTTACAGTGACTGGGTCCCATTAAAAGCTGGGAACAGGGCAAGTGTCATGCAAGATCCCGCGACCCTTCTTTTCCTGTTCGTATACATAAGACTACTACCACGCCTGGGACCGTTGATCTTCACTCGTTGAACCTGTCGTCCCATCTGTCGTCATACACCAACAGCCATCTGTCAATTTATACTCAGACTTTACTGTTGTTACCCATCCCGATTCCCGAAAACCGTTCGACGTTGTGACCGCCGCTTCAGCTTCGAGCTCTCCACCATCATCACATCACCGCTCACACAAGTCCGTTTCACCAACACACCCCGCGATCGAGAACACCGATTCAACTTTCAAGATCCCAAAGCCGAGCCTTGGTTGCCTCTTCAGTCTAAAGCTCCTAAATAACTCTCCCTACCCTCCCTGTGTCACCACAAGACGTGGAACACGAAAACAACAATTATGGTGTCCCTAAGTTGGCGAACAGCGGTGACAGCTGCTTTCGCAAGTGTAGCTTCCGCACAAACATGGTCAGCATGTAACCCAACACAGCGAAGTAAGTCTCTCGGAATCCCGTTCTCATCCCAGCCGATATTCATATCCCCAAGTAAGGAAAGAGAGAAAGAGACATGTCTAACACCATCTCTCCCCTTCTTTCCAGCCGACTGCTCCCCAAACACCGCCTCGGCATGGCCATCAACGTCGACTTCACCCAAGGCGGCGTGAACTCGTTCAACGCCTACGGCGGCACGCCCACCTACTCGAGAAACGACGGCGTCTCCTTCACCGTGGCCAAATCCGGCGATAGCCCCCAGCTATCCTCCATCTTCTACATCATGTTCGGGCGCGTGGAAATCACCATGAAGGCGGCTCCCGGCGCGGGCATCGTTTCCTCGGTTGTCCTGCAATCCGACACGCTGGACGAGATTGACTTCGAGTGGCTGGGCGCCGACAACACGTACGTGCAAACCAACTTCTTCTCGCAAGGAAAGACGGCCACGTACGACAGGGGGCAGTTCAACCCGGCGCCCAACTCGCAGGGGCAGTTCATCAAGTACACGATCGACTGGACGTCGGAAAGGATCGCATGGTATGTGGGCGGCACGCTGGTGCGGTCGCTGACGGTCAACGACGCCGGCGGACAGTACCCGCAGTCGCCCATGCAGGTCAAGTTCGGCGCGTGGTCGGGCGGCGACAGCGGAAACCCGCCCGGGACGATCCAGTGGGCTAGGGGTCCCACCGATTACAGTAAGGGCCCGTTCTCCATGGTGGTCAAGAGCATCATGGTCGCCGATTACTCGACGGGCAAGTCATACCGGTACGGTGACACGAGCGGCACGTGGCAGAGCATCATCGCCGAAGGCGGTAAGGTGAACGGGAACTTGGGCAAGTCCGGCACGGTCACGGTGACGGCTAGCGCACCGGCGGCGTCGAATACCGGATCTGCGTCGGTTCCTGTCGGTGGGATTGGTGCGGTCAGCGGCGACGCATCTGGAAGTGGAAGCGGCAGTACTGGCGGCACGACGACCACCCACGGTGTTCCCGATGGCTGGGTTATGAAGCCAGATGGGAAGATCGTGCCTGTTGGCGCGGCGAATGCCATGATGAGGCCGCCCCAGGGACTGCTGGTTGCTACGTCGCTTGTGACAGTGGCTCTTGCTGCTTTTGTTGGGTGCTTGGCTTGAGACTGAGAGAAATCATGGAATCACGAACAGCAAACATCCTTTGCTGTTGCTCAGTGATAAGCTGGGTCTCTCGTTCTTCTTTCTCCCTTGGGGGTCGGAGGTGTAGGGAGCCAGCAGCACCACGATACGATGCATTTGCAGGCGTAAGATTCGATTTGGGTTTGGGGCATTTTACCTAATATGGCGTTTTAAGGGATATTTGGTTTCGATAGAAAGATCTGCTGATGTATCGGCGACGACGGACGTGTTGTTATGTACATGATTGGAAATGTGGAGGGAATGATAATGTATGTATGTACCTTTGGTATGGGAAATTTTGTACTCCTACGTCACGATAGACATCACATACACACACAAATTGGACAACCTGTTCAGCATTCAAACGGCATTTTCCTTTTGTCCAGGCACATATGTAGTCAATTTCCGGTAGTGGTTTTGTCTCATTTTGTGTTTGCACATACCATGGGATATCTGCCCTCACGAACATGCGTGGTCGCAGCAACAGGTAATGATGGTAGTTGATCTCCATACTCCGCTGTTAACGATAGTCCATTCTAAGTTTTGGGATATAGCGACCATCTCTCTCGATTCTGCATCCTTTAACCCTTTTTCAACCTTGACTGAACACCGGCCTCCGTAAATCTACCTTCCGGAATCAAGCTATGCACAATGCGAATGGAAACTCCATACGACTCATCAAGAGCAAGCAAACTGCCTCCATCATTTCTCTAACCATCAGATCGTGTAAAACTTCGCTTCGCCTGCTTTTGTTTTTGGCATACGCGTCCGGCAAGCTTTCTAACAAAAACCCATGATGCCCAAATGAGAATGATCAAACGATTCACCCAACGGTCTATCAAGGCTACTTCGTGTGTGATTTGAGTGAAAGGCGCCAAAAAAAAAAAAAAAAAAAAAAAAACATGAAACTCATGTTGTTGTCTATATGAACGGCTTGTGTGGATAATTTCTCAGAATACGAACGACGATACCTGGCCAACCTCAAAACTCCCACGTCGAGTCGTCTCCGACAGACTCGATAGCCCACTTGAACTTTTCGCGCAACGTTTTGGAGAAGAACTTCTCGATAGGCACGTTAAACTTAGCCGAGAAGACGACCGTAAGACGGGGGTCGATGTAGTTCTATGACGGAGAGTTAGCGACGGAATGCATCCATACGGACAATCAAGCAAACTTACAATTTTGGAGGTACCAAGAGCGACCTCTTTGTTTCCTTCACGATCCGCGGACTGCAGCTCCAGGTTCTTAATACGCTGGTCAAGCTTCACAAGAGCTGCCTCCAGCTTCTCGACACTGGGACCCTTGCCTTCGGCCTCGACCTTCTTGGTCTTGTTCTCCTTCTTGAACTTGGCTTCTAGTTCGGATGCCGCCTTGAGTCGCTCCTTGAGCTCGCTGGCAGGCAGAGGCTTCTCGCCCTCGGCCACCCGCTTCTCGTTGTCCTTTTCGAACTTCTTGTTGATCTTGGTCTTCTGGTCCTCAACGAGGAACTCCTGATGAGACTTGACCCACTCCTCTGTCAGGTCCTCATCAAGCTCAAAGAAGGCAGCACCCTTCTTCTTCTTGAGCTTGGGGTCAAGGTCGAGCATCATCATCTTTGTCCGCCATTTCTGGTACCGCAGACCCTTAATCTGTTCAACAAGCTTCTTCATCTGCTGCTCATGGCTAGCACCGACAGTGCGCTTGTGGTTGCAGAGAATAGCAACTTGGCGGTTGCAGTCATTGTAGAGCTTGACCTTCTCGGCGACTGTGGCATTCGTGACCTTGAGCTCCTGGAGCAGCTTGGACATGGTGTAAGATGCGTTGTAAGTACGGAAAACCTTGGCCGTAAGTCCAGGCATGTAGCTCGACAAGTGCTTGTTGAGTTGCGTCGTCTGCATGGAGAGTTAGCAGCGTTCTAAATCATCTGACGAAGCAGAATAAACATACCGTCAGTCTGTCGAAGATGTCATCTCCGTCCTCCTTGGGAGGCTTCTTGAACATCTTGAGGTTCTTGAAGACCTGGCGATCGACTGTGAACTCGTTGTAGAAACGAATACTGTCCTTACCCAAGAAGTCAAAAATGACAGTGTTGGGTTCCCTAAGGGTGACGTGTTCGTACTTGAGAGAGCAGCAACCGACGGTCTCGGCCTCGTTTTCGGTATCCTTTTCGTTACCAGCTCTGAGAGCGAACTTGTCAATGAGATACATGGCCGTTGCACGTTGCCTGTCAGCCATGACCTCGCTCTTGAGATCCTTTGTATAGTCGGCACGGATGCGGTCGATGTGTTTCTTGAGCTCACGGGCCTTTTCGAACTTCTTGAAATCGGCCTTGCCCTTGACAGTACTGTTTGCTGCCAGCATGACATACTTGTAGTGTCCGTTGATGTTCTCTTGCCACATTGCAAGCCAGGTCGCCTTGTTGTCATGTTGAACGGCCTTCCACTTGTGGCCAGCTGGCGGATCTGGGACCTTGGCCTCCTTGCCAATGTTGATGGTGATCTGCTCTGGCAAGACACGCTTCTTGATGCACCCAGTCTTTGGGTGGTCACCGCGACCGCGGAAAAGTCCTGGAATTTCCACTCTGGGGTTACCGACCTTTTCTTTTCGCCCATCCCACTTGCAATAGAGGTAAGGGGCATCCCTCGTGTCTCTCTCGGCCTTCTCGGCCTTCTTCTCCGCTGACGATCGGGCATTCTTGGCCTTCGTTTGAGCGTCCTTGTAAGCCCACAGCTGGGAGAAGTCAAGTTTTTCGAATTCCTTGATGTCGACCTTTTTGCCGTTCTTGTCCTTGGCGCCGCCTGTCCGATCTAGGATCTCCTTGAAGTCCCTGAAGAAGTTCTTCTGGAAAGTGGGGTTCTCAACGTTCACTGTCGAGTTGAGCATGAAGCCGAAAAAGGTGGCGGCTTCCTCAGCCTCGATGTCGAGTTCGACCGGCGTTCCATCGTAGAGCAGCTTGACATCCTTGGGCAGACGCTGGTAATCCTCGGGGAAGATGACACCATTGTGCTCCAAGGTGGTCCACTTGATGCTGTCGTCCTCCTTCTTCGCTGACTCCTCCCACCACTTATACTCCTCTTCCTCATCGGTCTCATCAGTGATGTCCTTTGATTCTTCCTTGATGGGCTTCTTGGCAGCGGCAGCCTTGCCCTTCGCGGCAGCCTTCGCGGCGGGCTTTGCAGCAGGTGCCTTCTTTCCCCTCTTGGCGATGGGCACATCCGAGTCAGATTCCTCCTTTTTCACACCGTTCGCCTTCTTCGCAGCTGTGCCGTTGGCCTGTCGCTTGGGTTTCGCAAGGGGCTCGTCATCGGAGGATTCATCCTTGATGGCCTTCTTAGCAACAGGCTTCTTGGCCTTGGTATCAGCACGGATACTCTTGGCTTCCTTAGCGGCAGCCTTCTCGATGTTGGCCTTCTTCGCGGCGATCTTTCCGAGAGGTTCGTCATCATCGGAATCATCCACTTCCATATCCGTGTTCTTGGCAGACGGAGGCAATCTCGCGCCATTCTTTTTTGCAATCGGCTCGTCGTCGCTATCGGAGTCTGGTTGCTTATGTTGTGTTTTTGAACGTTTCGCCTGTCCTAGTTAGCCACAGGCCAAGAGAGGATACCAAGCCGGAAACATAGGAAAGCCTACCATGGGTTCGTCATCACTGGACTCATCCTTGTAGTTGACAGACTGATCAATGGATGCCCGCGATTTGCGCTTAGCCTGACCGTTTACCGGGGAGTCGATGTCCATCTTGTCCTGGTCGACGGGACCGTTGCGAATGGAGACACCGACGGGAGCCATATGAAGCTTGGAGTCAGCGGCGTCCATGGCACGATCATCAGCCTTGGAGATAGTCGGTGCCGAGCCTACAGTTGATGGAAAGTCAGTCCCATGGACGTGGTACGATGATAGGTTACGTCTAGAAGACGAGGCCATGGAAGGCATGACACGTTGACTCGAATCGGCTGGTAAACGGTGTGACGATGGGCAGGTGATAGAGTGAAGGGGTAATGAGCGAGAGTTGATGGGGGAAAAGGTGTGACTTGGTCACAGAAGCATCGACGTACCGTGGTGGCCGTTGACCTTGGCAGCGATCGGCTTGTCGTCTTCAGAGCCGGAAGACATGGTTGTTAAAGCGTGTTGCGGTGTCGGCACTACGTGTGAGAGGGCGTAAGGGCGCAAAAGCCGATCAGAGACGCAGCGGTCGCTAAACAGTGGCGAAGGTTGCTGGCTTGAGATTTGCAAGGTAACCAAGTCGAAGAGGTCGTCGGTCGTCGGTCGTCGGTAGAATCGAAGACGTTGCGAGAAAGAATTTGCCGGAAGAGGTGACCGCCTTCACCTTTTTGCCGTGGATAGACTCTTGGTGCAAGTCACTTGGTGACCAAGACCGGAAAGCGAGGGTCTCGGAGACTCGTCAAGGTGGTTGCGCGAGTTATCGAGATGGTCGGTCAATGGAATGAGTGTGTGAAAAAAGAGAGGATGTGGAGAGGCTGGAGGGTGGAGAGAAGCAGAATGGCGCAAGGTGAGGGAGAAGAAGTGAAGGGAAAAAAAGCGAAGGCGGATGGCAGCATGAACGAAGTTGGGGAGAGCAAGGGCAATCGGGAGGCTGTTAAAGATAAATCCTGGGGCTCCACCCTGCAACTCTTTCTGGGCAGTCGTTGCCAGGACCGCCAGGCTGTGGAAGTGTGGGTGCTGTGGGTGTGGTGTGGGCGATCGGGGTGGGTGAGAGCGACCTGAGAACTGAGATAGAAGTGAGTCTCCAGTCGGGACCCCAGCCAAGGTTTCGATACGTCGTCGCGGTCGCAGGGGAGGACGTTCACGCTCTGGGTCGGGGCATCTCACCTGTAAAAATCCCTGGTGAGGTGGTTGACTTTGAGAGGCCGGTACCTTTTTAGCGCGTCCCCGCTCTTGGTACCTTTTGAGTCTGTGAGTCTCTAGCGTGGTGCGCGCCCGTCAGTGTCGTGAGTGTGATATGGAATGGGAGTCTTCAGTTGTGGCAAGACGCTCTAACAAATACAAAGCACGTCCGTCATAGACACCAGGGCGGGCACCGCGATCGTGATCACCCAGCCTCATGATGATTGCACCACAGAGCTAGACGGGAGGTAACAACCACCTCACCCATCGTATCCAAACAGAAACACATTTCGTCTGATATCCTTCAACCTTGTGCTTGCTTCTGCTTACGTTCAACACTCTCTGGACGACTAACGTTGTTTATTGTTTAGGATAGGTACTGAGGTGAGACTCGACACTTTTGATACAGACGTTTGCAAGGCTCTTCCTCGTTCCAATGAGCACCAAATTCACACCCAGATGCCAGGCAGGTTTCAGTGAGGTGGATGGCACGGTCTCCAAACAGAACGGAAGGAACTTTACAGGACGGCTCATTTTAGTTTTCACGATTTGTAAAGCCGCCGGTAGTGGGATGTACACACACCACATGTCTGTCTGCTGCCAGACTGGGACGTGGTGCATGCAGCGGTGCAGGATTGCAGGTGCGGGCTAGACCGGGTGCCCCACCCACTTGGAAGCTCTGACAGCTGTCACGGCTGGCAGACACGACAGAGCTTGGCAGGAAAGCTGGCCGTCCAGACGTATTTTACCGTCATGGAAAAGTACTGGCGAACACTGCACAGCTGGCAGGCGGCCAACAACCAAGCCAATGGCCGGGAAGCAGTCCTCAGCCATTGCCAGGCTCGAGCCGGGAAAAAGGCGAAGGCGCCCGACTGGGACTGGACAGCGGCACTACACGGCGAGCCACACCTCACGAAGAAAGCACGGCCGGAAAGTGAGCAGAGGAAGCGGAAAGTGTGGAACCGACCTCAGCAAACCTCTCACGCCAATTGCGTCCTATTCCCATTGATCACTCCCCCACGATCAATTGCCGCCTGAATATCAAGTGGTCAACCCCGGGCCACTCCTCTCCAGCAGGTCTCTCCCTCGTCAAACATCCATTCAAAATGCTGTCCAGAGCTGCCCGCCCGGCCCTGAGAGCTGGAGCCGCCGTCTCGTCCCGGTAGGTGCTCTCCCAAGAAAAAAAAATACATGTCCTTCTTTTCCTAGAGTGCTCCGTCTCCGTCCAACATCTCGTCGTCTCGCCTCCGTCTGTTCGTCAACCGCCGTGTACCAAACCGACTACAGCTCCTCCGGGTCTTCATCTAGCTCTCAGCTCTCTGTGCGACTCCGAAAAGAATGCGATGCGCCGCCGGGGCCCCGATACATGACGTCCGATATATGGAGGGGCAGCAAAGCAAGCAAGCAGGGAACGGGTTGGGTGTGGGGAGAGAGAGGAGATGACTTCGACACACATACACACATACGAGAACGAGGACGGACACACGATAGCCCCGACACATCGAAAGGAAGCTTGAAACAGAACATGCAGACTGATTAAAGGTCATGACAACAGAGCGGCTGCTCCCGGCGCGGCCACCTTCGCGACTCTCCGTGAAATCGAGACCCGCCTCAAGTCGATTCGCAACATCGAGAAGATCACCAACACCATGAAGATTGTGGCCTCGACCAAGCTCAACCGCGCCCAGCGTGCCATGACCGAGTCCCGCGGCTACGGTGCCACCAGCAACGAGGTCTTCACCAACGCCGAGACCAAGCCCCTCGAGGCTGAGGGCAAGAAGAAGCTCGTCGTCGTCTGCTCCTCCGACAAGGGTCTTTGCGGTGGTGTCCACTCCGGTCTTGCGCGCTTCATCCGTCGCCGCTCCGCCACCGAGCCCGAGTTCGACATCGTCATCATCGGCGAGAAGGCCAAGGCCCAGCTGTCCCGTACCAACAGCAAGGACATCGTCCTCAACTTCTCCGGTGTTGGCAAGGACATCCCCACCTTCGCCGAGGCCTCTGCCATCGCCGACCAGATCACCCAGCTCAAGGGCGACTACGCTTCCGTTGAGATTGTCTACAACAAGTTCATCAACGCCACCTCCTACGAGCCCACCGTCATTGAGGCATTTTCCGAGGAGGCCATCCTCGCTTCCCGTACGTCATGTCGGCCACCGTGATGCTCGTCGAGGTTTTTGCTCGCTAACATGAAGATATCCAGCCAACTTCTCCGCTTTCGAGGTTGATGAGGAGGTCCTCCCCAACCTCCGCGAGTATGCCCTTGCCAACTCCCTCTACCACGCTCTCTGCGAGGGTCACGCCTGCGAGATCTCTGCCCGTCGCAACGCCATGGACGTGAGTTCTTCTCCCGTTCCATGCCACCTCTTTGAAGTCGATGACGACGATGACGACGGACAGACTGATGCTGACGTGAATCCTCTTACCCCTTGTGCAGAACGCTTCCAAGAACGCCGGCGAGATGATCAGCAAGTACCAGATTCTCTTCAACCGTACCCGCCAGGCCGTCATTACCGGCGAGTTGGTCGAAATTATCACTGGTGCCACCGCTTCGGCCGATATGTAAACAGCTACTACAACCACCGCAGTTTATTAATAGCAGACGAAGATGTGTTGTTGAGCGAAAAGAAGGGGAGAGGAGACCTGAACGGAAAAAGGACCAGAGCCGAAATCCATCCCTATCTGCACTCCCACTTAACATTCATCATCATCCATGCCTCATCAACACGGCCGAAGTTGTGTGAGCGTATGTGGCGTGGTATATCCGGTCCCAGTCCAAAAAGTTGCGTGCCAATGTCCTCCTTTGTACCACTCGATGATGAGCTATGTAGCTTTCTCATTAGTGTACCAACGCCTTCAGTCCATAAATTGTACGACTTCTTTCATACATCTGCCTGCCTGCCCGCTCCGTGGTCAGTAAGCCGCTTGAAAGGAAACAGCTGTCGTAGCCTCATTTTTCCTCATGCAATCCTATATATCTATGTCTGTTGCTCGGTTGGGCTGAGTGAGGCTCAACGAACCCTCCAGCCAGGCAGTCATCTACATTCACTCCAACAAATCACAGTCCAGACGAGAGCGCTTACACATGTTTGACAAGCTCATCCACCAAGGTATTCGTCCGTTGGCAATTCCTCAGTAAGCAACCTGACTACGTCGCAGGCAAGTTCCGTCCAGACTTACATGTTTCAGTCTCGGTGAGTTCGTGTACATAAGCCGGCCAGCGTTTACATACAAATTTCATCCTATCTCACCGCCGCGGCCGCCGCCATGCAGCGATGCAGGTGTTTGATCGGACTAAAGTGGGTAGATAAACCCATAAAATGAAAGATGAGATCAAATTTCACCACAATTCGTCTTCGGGTGATCAACAGGTCTGCTGACTAACAGAACGGTTCAGGTTGGTTTTTTCGCCTGTGGAACTTTCTGAACTTTCTGCTCGCTCCTCACTTGCCTGGTATGGTAGAAGTTGATGCCCGCTTGCATCCAGGCCACCAGAACAATGATAAAGAAGAGTGGAACAAAGACTTACGCCGTGTGTATATGTATGTGTGTGTCTGTATGGGTGTGAACAATGTGAGGAATTGAAAGTGAAGCCATGATAAAATAAAAACGTATTTTGCTTTTTTCCTTTTGCCACCTTGGTAGTAGTGTAGACTTAGTAAACTTAATAAATACAAGTTTGTCACCAACACCTCCCCCCCCCCCCTTCCTTCTTTCATGCCTTTTTTGCCAAACGCCTGATCAGTAACATGTACATACGAATGAATGCCTTCCCCTGTTCAGCTACCTTTGAAAACAAGGCGACTGACCCCCGGGTAACACAACACCCAAGTCTTTCTGCCTTGCCTGTTCCTTCTCCTTAACCCTTTTTTGAGACCAGGTATCCTTTTTGCTGCCTACGCGCTCACTCACTCACCCAGTCATCTCAACATCAACATCACTCCCCTCATCCTCCGCATAACTCCCCACCTTCTCACCCGCCCACCTCGCCCTCCTTCCATTTCTCCCAATGGCACTCCCACTGCCACTCCCACTCCTACTAGCAACGCTAGCACCAGCACCAGCAGGACTTCCACCAACCCCCTCCTCACTCTTAACAACCTGCTGCCTCTGGTGACCCAACGCACTCAACGGCACATACGGATTTCCCTTTTCATAAACCACCTTCAGCTCCGTCGCCTTCCGATCCCACTCGCCCGCCTTCTCATTCCACTCCTTCATCGCGATGGCATGCACCCTCTTGGATTCCTCCGCCATTTCCTCAAACGGCCTTTTCTCTTCGGGGGAGGCATCCTTCCACATCTTGGCGCTCATCATTCTAACTTCATTCCCCGACGCTTTCCCTTTGCCCGGTCTGCGACCGGCTTCGCACCGCTTGCGCGCGTCGTCGTAGTGCGCCTTGCTGAAGAAGATGTAGCCGGAAACCACCGGCTTGGAGGGCTTGAGCGGCCGCGGGCCGATTTGCGAGACGATGGAGTCCCAGAGGGCGATGTCGTAGGCTTCGAGGCGGGCTTGTTCGGGGTTGCGGGTGGAGGACATGGTGCCGTAGCTGTTTGTACTGCTGGTGGTGACGGTGGTGGTAGCTGACTCGGAGGAAAGAGCAGCGGCTTTGCGCTTGAGGGAGAGCGATGTGGATTCTTTGGGGATGATGAGCGGCGCGGGGATCTCGATGGGGCCGAGCATAGCCTCGAGAACCTCGGAGGCGGCGCGCAGACCGGAGAGGTAAGCGCCATGGACGGTGGCGGGGTGGGTGCCGCATGTGTGCTCGCCTGCGAAGAAGAGGTTGCCGATGGGCTTGGCCATGGTGTCATAGTCATCTGCTTTCATGTCCGGGCCCGCGGAGGAGTAACTGCCCCGCGCGAACTTGTCCGATGCCCATCGGGTTACGACGGCCTCGATCGGCTGTTGGACCTTTGAACCGTAGACGCGGCGCAGGACGTCGGTGGCTTCCTTGATGAGATCGTCATTGCAGGTTTGTTCCGTGTCGTAGCCGGCATCGCCAGCCATGAGAGCGAGGAGGACGGGTAACCCGCTGGTTTGGGTCACGTTGAACCACTGGAAGAAACGGCCTCTCTGGGAGGCGTAGTCCTTCTGGTCCAAACTGTGCCGGTTGGGTGGGTTTCTGAGGACACCAAAGATGTCGCGATCCTCATCCCAGAAGGCCTCTTTGTATACGAGGATGACCTTGTTGAGAACACCAAAGCCTAGACGTTCGATGGCACTAGACTTCCACTCCGGCAGCGGTGGCTCAAACTTGACATTACCATGCTTGAGCACGCCCAGAGGTATCGTGTTGACAACGAAGTCGGCTTCCACCGTGAACCCATCCTCGCAGTCGATCACAGCTGGCCTTGTCGTGCTTTCCGTAGTATATGTTATTTTGTTGACGGGTGACTTTCGTCGAACATCAAGCGGCGTAGGCAGCAGCATGAGACCTTTTGGTACGCTCTGATAGCCGCCAATGACCATGGTGTGACTCCCCTCCCATTCGTTACCGGCATCAATATCCCAGCCCTGGAGACTCAGCTTATTATAGTTGATAGCATTGCTATACTCCAGGTTGGCAACGTGCCAGTTCAGGAGCCTGTAGTCTTGTGCAGTCAAGTCCACAATATCTCTGTACTGGGCAATCATGTTGTCGACAACGCTCCCGAGGTTGGCACCCGGCTCTTTGGCAGGTGTCTCCAGGTCGAGGTCGGCATCTTCTGAGACGCTCTGCTTCAAGGCCCACCCCAAGAGTTTCGCTTTGTAATGCTGCCTTGAGGGCACCCGGCGTGCCAGGTTCGGTGTGGACGCGGCCTGTGGCACGGTCTGATGATATCGGCACGAGGTTCACTTGTGGTGCTATGCTCTGCTCGGACACAGGCGGCGCATGCGGTTGGGCGGCAGTTGATTCCTCCACCTGCCTTATGGTCTTGTAGGCTTCTGCGGAGCTATCCTTGCCCTCGTCAATCAACTCCCTGTTGCCCTCAATCAGCTTGGACGTGGGCTGCTTAAACTTATATTCGCTGACCCGGTCGAGGCAGTCATTGTACAAATTTTCAACCAGCTGATCTCGGTGTAAATCTACCGGCTTGCCGTTCGAGTCGTACAGAGTTGTGTCTGGCCGCAACGGCCTGTATGGAATTCCAAGCTGTGCCCGGAGAAGAATGTTGATGGGATTACCGCGTTCGAATCCCGTGATAATCATTCCTCCCATTTCTGCAGTGAATCGCTTCCCTTGAAAGTTTTCTGGGATTCGGGCAGGCTTAGTTGCAAAGGGGCGAGAGTAAACCCTGCCACCTATGCGGTTTCGACCTTCGATTACAATTACTCGTGGAAGCTCTTCACCCATGTCTCGGAACTTCTTTGCATATTGCGCAAAGAGTCCCTCGAGCTGTCTCGCGCAGCCCAGTCCAGCCATACCTGCTCCCAGAACAGCGACTGTTCTCTGCTTGAGGGTTGTAGACGATGGGTCTTTGGAAGCATGTTTCTTCGAATGGCGATAACCTACGCACCCAAAGTTGATGTATCCGCGACGGACAAGCCAGTCAAAGCATAGACTAGCGGCGTCAAACCAACGGGTGTCTTTGGCGCACCCAACCGCTTCTTCTCGAGTAACAGCTATTTGCGGATTCCTAACCCATAGCCTGAGAATACCATTCCTGATATTCAGATATGTTGTTACTTGGGCATGGCTGATGTGGTCTCGAAGCATCATATATTCCTCCTGATGCAAAGCATATGGGTTGAGTCTCGACGCCTCCGCCGCAGAAATACATTGCATGGCATATTCCTGTAGTGAAAGATCGGGAGGTATGGCGATTTTGGGACGGACATTGTACCGCCGCCGGGAGGGCTCCGTCGGCGTCGCATTTGCTGCTGTATTTCGAGGCAAGGATCCTTGCGTTGGTGTTGGCTGGGTTGGTGCTTCGTGTGCTAGCGTTACCTGAACTGAATCTTCCTGTGCTGGTGTTCTTTGTACTGGGTCATCGGGGGTCGATGTGCCTTGGGCGGGAGGCTCTTCTGCCGGAGGTTCTTGAGCCGAAGATTCGTGAGCCGGATGTTCTTCCATGACTATATCCTGTGGTGGTGCTTCTTGGTCCGGTGCTTCTTGGTCCGGTGCTTCTTGAGGCGGCGCCTCCAGCATCGGGACATCTTGCGCTGGGGCTTCTTGTACGACCGCATCCGTAGCTGGAGCTTCTTCCATTGATACATCCAAGGTTTCAGTTTCTTGAGGCGGTGAGGCTTGCCTTACTGATTCCAGGACTGGCCCCTTAGGCGATTCTTCCTTGATCTTCCGCTCGAGGACCGGTGACTTTGGTTCATGGGGTGGAGCTGCAATTTCAGATACTGCGGAAGGGGGCTCGTCCGTCATTGGTAGAGGCGAAAGGCGGACTACTTCTGGTTCTGGTTGAGCTGATGGCTGTATTTGTACCTCAGCTTGTGGTTGTTCATCCGCTTGAGGAGGTTCCTCCGTATCGGGTTCCGGTTGTTGCTCTTCCGCATGCGGCTCCGGAGTATGAAATACCAGTAAAGAAGGCAGTGGCTCAGATGACTCTTTTCTTGTTGAAAGCTCCTTCGGTCCATCCGCATCCACAGGCGTCGTAGCCTTGCTTGTCACCGATGGTGCATGAGATGACGGATTCGACTGTTGGTCCGAAAGACTACTTGCGGACTGTGTGATCGGATTTTCCTGCTCCACCGCGTTATCGTCTTGAGGTGATATAAGCGGCGACAATTCTGGAAGCTCCGACAAGGGCGATAAGGGCGTTGAAAACTGGCTCGAGGCGTCTTCATTTTCGACATTTCGCTCTTCTGGGGCTTGCGATAGCGACGGTAACTGCGGAGAGCTGCATGGAAGTCAGCAAGAAGGGACAGACAATACTTGATGGCAAACGGTGGGTCAATATAGGGGTGCAAAGGACTCGATGAGGAAGAAATAAAGATGACAACATACTCATTTATCGCCAGTGGGCTGTTCGAGGAGGAAGACTCCTCCGAGTCCATCGTATCCATGTCTCCCGTCCAGACCACAATTTCCGGTGCGATATCTTCTGAACTCGTCGACGAGCTGGTATCTGCCGAGTGGCCGCCTACAGGCGTTCTTGCTCTCTTCATGGGCGGATGCCTGCCGGAGTTGGAGGGCTTAGACCGGTTTTGGCGAGATGAGCTGGATTCCTTGACGTCTTTGGTGGGACCCTTCGCAAAGCTGCTACTAGTACTCTGCCCAGGACGAGACCGCGAACTGTTGCCCATTTCTTTCAAAGGACAGCAGCTGGATGACTAGGGAAAACCGCTGGGCTGGAAGATGGGCGTGATAGGTCGGCACCGTCGTCTTCGCTCACGTTGAAGTGGACCTCCTTCCATATATACACAGGAGATACCGGATTTAGCGGAGGGTGAAGGTTAAGATCGAGCCGTTTACGGTGGTGGTGATGATGAAGGTGTGAAGATCGGCCATTCGACTGGGCTGTCTATCGCTATGATACAAGATATGCTCCGGCTTCTAAGTCTTTTGGTTAGCCCAGTTGAACATTGAAGAAAGGCCTGAGGAACCTGTACAGTGAGGGATGTGTAAACGGTATGGAGGAAAGTGGATATGATTGGACCATGTGCGCCGTTGTGTTTATATGGGTGAAGGAAGTGGACATCGAAAATGGCGTATGTACCTCGAAATATCATATCGCAGCCCATGGAGCAATGTTGAAGTTTCGTCTCATAGACGTCGTACGATTGGTATGTCGCCGTCTCGGTTTGAGATGTCGTCGAGTGGTTAAGGTGAATGGAATATCTTGCGGTGTTGACTACGACGTCTTTGGTAGGTGGTGCATCGATATTCCTCAGTTTATCAGTCGTCGTTGGTTGACTAACATAATGGAAAAAACAATATCTCTTGACTTTGCTGTTGTTGTTGCTTCAGTCCGAGGTTTGTTGTCTGGCTGCCGTTGTCTCCAGTCTGCTGATACAGTTGCACTGACGGATCTGCTGCGCGAGAACAGAACCCACTCCCACTGGTAACAGCGCCCTAAAAAGTGCGGAATGCCGGCAACGTTCAGCGCATGCTCAAAGTTTCAGTTACAAGAAATTAACGCTGCTCGTTTTGGTTGATCGTTGCAAATGCTTTCTTTTCAGCCATTACGCGTTATTACGAGTATTTGAGGTCCGTGGTCCAATCACGTGAGGCGCAGAGCGAGGAGAACGATCCCTGTGAGGAATGGGAGAAGACTCATGGTCTCTTCCATCCGGATGCTCCAAGTCTGTCTTCAGCTTCGCAGCAAACATCGATATAACTCCCCTTTACCCCTACGTATTGTGAGCAAAACCCGGATTCCCCAATTGTAGCCATAGTATGCTCCTATATTCTGCGTCTGTTGTAGATATTTCCCCCGATCGGAATCAAACATCCATCAACCCTTCGTGTATCAATCAAGCAATATCAACTCTCCGTCTCCTGTTGCACGCTCTCGGTTCCAAATGTCCCATTCTCGATCGCGGCCTCCATCATCTTGTTTCCGCTAATAATGGACGTCGTGCAGATGATAATCTTTCTCCGACCTAGTGATTCGTGACACCCAGTTAGTGATCGATTCGCTTCGTGTGCTTTTGCGGCCAGCTTGAGCAGTGCGCGTGTTCATAGGATAACGACATACCTTCTTCTTTCTTCGCAATGAAGCGAAGAGCCGCGATCTCACTGAAGCTGATGCCGCCAACGAACACGACAAACACCGTCTTCTGGCCGTCGTTGCCCGATAACAGCGCTCGAGCCTTAACAGCCTTATCCTCGCCCTTTTGCACCTCGTCAAATGTCGGACCACGAGCATGCTTGACAGCGTCGTCGAACCCACGCCATCCTTGCGCGCCTCCTGCGGCTGGTCCGGCTGTGTTAGTGGCAGCTGCTCCCTTTGTGATGGAGAGCAAATATTGCTTCTGAAGGATGCACTGGACGAGGCGTATTGAAAGAGGAGCGTAGCCGCTGTAGACGTAGGCGATATCGTTGGGATCCTGTTCGTTGACCTCGTCGACAATGAGCCGCAGTTGCTTCCGTAAGTATGTGTAGTTAGTCTTCGTTCCCGTCGCACCAACGGACCCGGTCATGGGGATCATGGATGCCAGGGGAGACGACCTCGAGAGGAACATCTGAAGCTTCTCTAGATTATGGAGCGTGAGTATGTGTTGGTAGCCATATCCTTGCAGTATAAGGCGCCGAAAATGGTCGAATTCCTTCGTCTTGATTCCGCCCGAGATACACGAGTACACGCAGAGTAGGCGCAATACTTGCGGCAAAGGGACATCGCGTGCTATTAGTTCTTCGATGGCCTCAAACTGGGAAGACGGATCTGCTCCAGCTGCGAGATTCTGCTGAACCTCCAGCATTTTGCTGAAGTGTTCCGTGCGAGTATACTTCATGATCTCCTCCGCCAGTCCCGTATGAATTTTGAGGCTCTTCTGTTCGGCCTGGTATCCCGGGAGCTTCGAGACAAAATCTTTGAGCTCGGCTGTCGTCTTGGAGCTATGCCTACTCTCGTAGTCACTCTTCAAACGACGAGCAATCTTGTTCAAAAGACTCCCCACAATGGCAAAATTGGCGTCCCGTAGTTGCTCAAACAGCTTGTCGGACGAGTCAAGTTGGACTTTGCGCTTTCGCGAAGACCCGCTATTCACGACGGCAGCGGCGGCAGTGGTTGAACCTTGTGGTTCCGGTTGTGCGCCAATGATCGTCGAGTCGACGTCGGCCTGGTTATTCTGTACACCGAATACCTCGTCGATCAAGCCCTCGTAGGTCAGTTGTGTCAGAAGGGGCGTGACAAAGTCGACTTCACGGTCGATGATGATAACACTTTCGTTCGTGGTGCTGGGTGATAGGCCGATCTTGTCTCCTTCGGCTGCTTCTTCGCCAGCGAGAAGCTCCTGTCGCATACGGGACAATAATTCAGCGACTCTCTTGGCGTTCTCGCCCTTGCCAACGATCCTGGGAAAGAGGCCATGCTTCTGTTGGATGCCCATCAACGCCTTTGAAAGCAGAAAGACGGGTGTGGGATCCTTCGCGAGGTAAAGGTCTCTGAAGGAGTCGTCTAGTTCGAGGGACAAGACATCGGTGTCAAGCGGAAAGAAGTATAGGGGTAGCTCGGCGACGTTGGTATCACCCAAGACGCCGGCCTCTTCCAACACCTTGTCTGAAACCAGCGTTCGGCGGGGTACCCAGAAGACATGGAATTCGTGGGGAGACTGGCTCTCGTGCTGTAGACGTTTTATTTGATCTGGCTAGCTGTCAGCACCTTCAGAGGTCCGCCGACTGTTTCTCTCGTCTGCGATGTCGTGGTTGGTATTCGTACCTGCTATCGTGTGAGCATGATGGGCCGACTCGCCCCGGGCAATGAAGACCACATTGCGCTGGCTCGAGTCGGTGTTGTTGTTTTCGAGGAAGAAGAAGTTATCAGCGCCATAGTCACGCAAGGTTGATGCTCCGACAAAGGCATTAAGTGGACCAGCCAGGCTCTTCTCAATCACAATGTTCTTCTTTCCACGGACCTGCACGGAATCCCACAAGCTGCCGTCAGTTCAGCACTTGCACCAAGCGTCAACGCAAATCGTTGCTTTGGGCCGATGCTGCCCAGTTCGGGTGGGTTTTGAGGGCACAATGGCTGTACATACTGATTCTAGAAGATATAGGATGTCCTTGCGACCTTTCTCTCTAATCTGTTCGGTGTCAAACTCCGCATGGGGAGCCATGGTGGTCGAGTTCACCTCATGCGGCTGTTGGTGTTGTGGTGTGGATCCTGGGACGGCGGGCAGCTGATGACGAAGAAGGAGGGTGAAGCTCGAGCTCCGGGTTTATGCTGTGCTACCAAGTGGAACTGCAGTGAACATTGGTTGGTTCACTGCGCGAACCCCAAAGCTTTGGGGTATCTCAGTGGGCTGAAGTGGGTCGATCGGTTAGACTGGAATGTTGTTCACACCCCAATGACCCTCGATTTCCGCGAACCTCCTGAGATGTAAGCAGCTAAATAAAAATGTGCATGATTGAGCACGGGTGAGGTAATCAACTGATGGAATCATCCCATCGACTACCGGTATCCGATGTGGAGAGCTCCATCGCCTACGAGTGCCCCAAAATTTCAGGGCTGAGAAGGTCCAGCAAAGGCCCGCTACGTCCGCGGCTTTTGGGGGAGGGCAACAGATAAGATATGTCTTCACCACCGGGAAGATAATCAATCTTACGTCATCTGTTGTCGATGTTAGAGAGCCCGTAGGTCCACCAAGAGAGAAACGAACAATGTCTTTCGCTACCTAGATGTATGTTCCGTATGTGGTGAGACTACCCGATGCTGGGTATAAATTGAACATCAATCTTTCTGAAAGAAAAAAAAGAAAAAAAAAGCTCGCTGTAAGAGTGCTGAGTCGAGCAATTCCGAATGCTCTTCAAGCTCCAGGCCTCCTTCCCTGAGTAATCCTTTAAGCGCCAGTATTATCCCCCAACCAAACTTGCAAATATGTGAACTCCTCATAATGCAGAAGATACGAACTACACCCAATCCAGTGTGAGTGTCCTGGCCCTCCCGATCAAACGCCGGAGGCGCCGTCTACCGAAAAAGTAACACCTTCCCATATCCCAGCGCAATTTCCGAAGATTGTCCAGCGGCTGAGACTCGCCCTCCCTCTAGACGGTATTGTCGTGATAGTAGAACTCAATATCCTTGGGGCGCTGCTTGTTGCCGCGAACAAATTCCTCATCGCCGGGAGGTCGCTCGTCCTTGGTGTTCCCGGTCAACATGCTCTGTAGACTCATGCATACGCTTTCCACGCTTTGCACGGGGCTCCAACCTTGTTGACCGAGTAGGTCGAGACAGATGATTCCGTTAGAATAGATGTGCGGGTGGATCGGAATCGGCCGGTCGGTTTGTTTGACGAATACCACTTCAGGAGGCTCTAAGTCTTGATCAGCTTTTGTACTATCAACCGCAGCCTGTATCAATCTTGCGCACCGATGGGGTATGACTGGCTGAACCGGAACTTCAGTCGATATGTCTCGTTGAGGTAAAGCGGGTTGTTGTCGAGGACTTTTATGTCCAGAAGCCACTCTTCCAAGTTGTCGGCGGAGACAAGTTCGATCCCAGGTGGCAAGCCGTTCTGGATCTGATGAACAGGAATGTTATGGCGTCAGTTGTTGCAATCAATCTCTTGAATTCATCTCGACCTATGTGGTGTGAGGTCTGCTCGGACATCCAACTGACCTTGCTCAGTTCCTTCCCCAGCCTTTTGGCAGCAAACTGTACCGGCATCTTTGCTGGGTGACCACAAGTTGCTGTTGCAGCAGCGACGTGATGGCCCGCGATGACGAACAGGCGAGCCTCGCAAAGCAATGGCAGTGAATGCGGGCTGGTAATCGTAGGTATGTAGATGACCAAGCTGGAGGTTGGCGAAGTTATGTTTGGCCAATCCTGGAGGGGCAGCAGAAGCACTGAACAAAGAGTTTGAAAGGAATGCTGGATAATGACCTGAGCTTGCGGTCCCTGTCCGTTCAAGTTCAAGCTGAGGTTTTGCTAATGCCAGATTAACTGAGTGGGTTGAACCGCGCAACGTTTGCTCTGAGTTGCAAAGGGATCACTGGTAGGGCTGAGGCTGAGAAGGGCCTCCGCAACAACAGCTCAAGACGGAAAACAACGTCCACGGGTGGTGAGACCAGGAGCGACCCAGGAGAGGGAAAGAGGAAACCGCATTTCGCGCCTGGAGGAGCCGGAGTCCACTGATTCCACGCGCGGGGACTGTCCATCGATTGGTCGGTACAACTGCAGGGCTGCGGCTTCCGTTTGGAACCAACCGCGATATTAGAGAGCCCTTTTCTCTTGGTGACCTTTCCAGCCCTTTCACTTCGCCCTATAGGTTGCAGGTTATGTTGTATTCCATCCGGCTACCACTTGTAAGTAATCTGATAAGGAGATCACGAGAGCGCTCGGACCATATCCCATGTCACACATCAAAAATACCAATCGGAGGCCATCAAGAATTTTGATATCATTTACACAGTAGTTAGTACATGGAGGAGGATCCGAAGGGGAAATCCTCATGTATTGCCCCGTTTGGTTCCATATCCGTCTCTGCAAAACATCAGACTACAAAGGCAACCTGAGGATGAGGTCGTACAGATCCATGTCCCACTATTACGTGTATACAGATGAAGCCAAGCCACGACACTGCAAGAGTAATATCGAGGTCCACTGCAGCAAGTTGGCGGTGGTGATTACTCACTCAAAGTCCGTTGTACCGTGTTCCGACTTTTCCCTCGAGATAGTGTAAGAAACAGACAATGGAGGCTTCCTCTAAAGCTCAAGTCGATGAGGAAGTTGAACAGCGGAAGACGTGAAGACGCAGAGGGAGCTCTAGAATCGATGATGGATGTTTGAAGTTTGGAAAAGTGGATCGCTAATCTGATATTGACTGGAAACACTATCGCCAAAGGCGGGCTGTGAAGGTCGATAGCGATGGCCTTTGATACTGATGATCATTGATTGCTTGAGTCTCCAGTGATTCAAACGAGCTTGATCACAATCTAGAGGTAAGCAGGGTCCAGATGGGCCGACTCATAATACCTTTCTCGGTGAGCATCCCGATCCACAGGATCGAGGTTTGAAGTGCGCCTAACCGGTGACGGGGTCGGATAAGTTGAGATGTTCAAGGGAAGTTAGGTATTCGCATTGTCTGTTTTGGTTTCGATGCAGTGCTCATTCCGTCAGGGCTGCATCTCTAGCATGACCCGACGGGAGCCCAAAGACATGACCCTTGTCGGGTAAAGATCCCACTGCCATGCCTTACCCCTCCCCAATCACAGGCTCGCCAAGACCAGATGGTGCCCCTCTTTGCGCACCCTGGGGGTCATGGCGGTTCGTGGGCTGAGCACTCCACGGCCTCCTTCATAGCCCACCTTTGCTCACGCCTTGTCGCATTGGATGCCTCTAGTTTGAATGTTGTTGCAGCGATAGCTCAACCTAAAGAAACGAAAAGCACCTGGTGTATCATTGGAATCCCGTTACCAATAACTGATCGTATCTTGCAAAGAATTTCTAAGAGTTGGGCCCAAAACAGCCCCAGGCGCACGTCAAGGTGACCCGCCCGTCTGATGGAGTGCTGCTGGCTTGGTAGAGTGGAATGATGGACGATGACGGGAGGCCAGTCAGTGGCAGTGACGGGACAGTGGAAATGGAAGAGCAAGGAGGAGCGGAGGCATCCTTTATGCCACGGGGTTTGGTTGATCTCTCTTCTCTTATTACCTCTCCCCAGCCCTCATAAGTTTCGATTGTGAAAGTCGTTTTACACGTTCCCCCCTTCATCCCTATTTCTGCAGTGAAGCGAACGACATTTCAACAACTCCATTTGGTCAGTTGCACTTGCACAGGGCTTACACCCCATCAGTTCGTTTGCAGGTAAGTACTCCCACTCATCGTGGAGTTAGTGGGACCTGCCCTCAGCCCGTATTACGCTGAGCGGATACCCCCAAGGTCCCCTCTCGTCTTACCTGACGTGTGTACCTTTTGCCCAGAACTTGAACTCTGATAGCCGCCTTTCTTGTCCAGCCCAATCTACTGCTGCCAAGCATCCCCTCGTCTTGCTCTGCCACTCCTTTGCAGCCCATTCCCGAATCTCAGCTCCTACCTCAGCCCCTCGTCCTAGTCGATCGCAAGCCAGCCTACAAGTTTCGTCCAAGTTCAAGCTCGATCGGTTCGGTTATCAGTCTCGATAGCCTCCTGCCACTTGCACACTCGAGAGCGGAAGGAAGAGAATCAAACAGCTCTTCCCCCTCCCCGGATTCGTCCATCACGCCTTCTTGATTCGTTTTGTACACTAGACATCAAACACCATGAGCTGTAAGTTCCCTCTGCTCCCGTGCGGTCTCGTCAGTCTCGGTCTGTTCCTTTCGAGGTCTCCTCTCAAGTCTTCTCCCCCTCGGATAGACGAAGAACTGGCCCCCGTCACGCCCCCCTATACAACCTCCTTTCCGATCACATCAGTAGCTGACCATGAACTCCTCACGCGCAGTCGCCACCATGCTCAACCGCCTTCACGGGCAACCCGAGAGTTACGACAAGAAGTACGCCTCCGATCCCCATTCTCGTCCGTTCGCTTGCCTCGCCTATGGTACTAACACCCTATATCAGGTCCAAGTACTCCTTTGGTCGAACGCTCGGTGCTGGTACCTATGGTATCGTCAGAGAGGCCAGCGGCCCTACTGGCAGGGTTGCTATCAAGATCATATTGAAGAAGAACGTCAAGGGTAATGAGCAAATGGTTCTTGACGAGCTAGAGATGCTTCAGCGCCTCAAGCACCCTCACATTGTCAAGTTTGTCGACTGGTTCGAGTCTAGGGTGCGTACGGTTTACGGCTGACTTGGGGCAACTACGGCGAAACTAACACTGTTTCCTCCATTAGGACAAGTATTACATTGTTACTCAGCTCGCGACGGGAGGCGAGCTTTTCGACAGGATCTGTGAGCAAGGAAAATTCACGGAAAAGGATGCTTCGCAGACCATCAAGCAAGTTTTGGGTGCCGTCAACTACCTCCATGAGAACAACGTCGTCCATCGAGGTTAGTCCACATGGTTCCTTGACCAATTTTTCAACTGCCTGGCTAACCCCTCATGTCACAGATCTCAAGCCTGAGAACCTCCTATACCTTACTCGAGATGCCGACTCGGATCTCGTCCTGGCCGACTTCGGCATTGCCAAGATGTTGGACAATAAGGATGAGGTCCTCACGACTATGGCTGGCTCCTTCGGTTATGCAGCGCCGGAAGTTATGCTCAAGCAGGGTCACGGCAAGCCTGTCGACATGTGGTCAATGGGTGTTATTACGTATACTCTCCTTTGCGGCTACTCGCCATTCCGCTCCGAGAACCTTCAGGACCTCATCGACGAGTGCAGCAGCGGCAACGTTGTATTCCATGAGCGTTACTGGAAGGACGTCAGCAATGACGCTAAGGATTTCATTCTGAGGCTTCTACAGCCCAAGCCGGAGAACCGGTGGACAAGTCAGGTGAGACTTACTCATATTCTGCTGTGCTGAGCTGACGTCGATGAATGAATACGGCTACTGACACGCATGCCCCGATCAATAGCAAGCTCTGGCTCACCCCTGGCTCCGCGGCGATTCCGCAACCAACCACAACTTGTTGCCCGAGATCAAGGCCTACCTTACCAAGGCCCGCCTCAGACGTGGCATCGAGATGGTCAAGCTCGCGAACCGTATCGAGCAGCTCAAGATGCAGGAGGATGACCCGGAGAACACGGATATGCCCGGCGATGCGACACTTGCCGCCGACCAAGCCCAGGCCCGCCATCGCGCTCTATCCGCTGCGAGCACCACGGGCGGAGCCTCAGATGCCGAGAACGCCACTGCACCCGCCGAAAAGCGGACGCTCTCCAAGACTATCAAGACGGCTATCTTCCGCGAGGTCGTTCTGGCCAAGGTTCGCGAGATGAAGGAGCAGGAAGAGGCCAAAAAGCTCGCGGAAGAGGTGGAGACGAAGGCCAAGAGCTTTCAAGCCTAGGGATGCTTGAGTGGGAACAAAGTATCATAGATATATGAGGGTGGGTTCTTGTTGCTGTTGCTTCTAATGTTGTTTGATACCAAAGCATGGGCATCTCTGGATGCATGCGGATATGATGTGAGTGTGCAGGGCATATTGCGCGTTTTGGCTGGGGTTCTGGTTGCCAGCTCCGGTACAATATTGGGCTCTGTATTTGGTATTTGGATTGAGCGCTTCAATTACCAGTATACCCGGGAGGAAGTGGAAGTCAAGGCTATGCGTTCTTTGCGATCAGTTCTACCCATGGGGAACTCTTGGAGCGGTCCACCAGCGTTGAATATAGTATGAGCAAATCTTTCTCGTTGATGTTCGCACGTCAAAACGTTGCTGTTCCGCGTAGTGATATAACAGGAATATGGTCCTGTCAGTCAACTTCTGCTGAGGAGGTCGGGATATGTATCTGAACCATCCCTGAGCGTATGATGATGAAGTATCTCAGACCCTCGGGTTTCCATCCGGTCTTTGGCTTTTCATCCCATCAGTTCGAGACTAGCCTCCTCTTCATCCTTCTTCATCTTCGATATCTCTATTTTTGTCAAATCCTTCGGTGCGCCAGCCCTCAATCTACGTGCTACCTATGACATTAACCATGGCTTGGAGAAAAAGACTTGATCATCAAAGACCAATTCACATTGAATCAGGGACCGGCGCTGTATTTCTCTTGGTTTTACGCTATAGTTACTCTGTTTGATTCTTTGCATAGGTAAATAGCACGGAGATATGAATTGTAGATACGTGAACAAGTAAGTGTAGGAAGTTTATCAACAGGAGGATGTGGATGTTATTTTCAATTGGTGTGTATATGTAGATACGTAGGTATCTAATACGAGTATGTATACATGTGTGTAGTATGTTTGTTCGAAACATTTTCGAGGTAAAATAGTGAGTAAACTGTCAGAAGCGGCTGCTACTT